TCATGAAAATTAAAATAAGACTTGACTAAAGGTCTTACTTACTAGGTCATAAAATCCATTAAAAAAAGAGTGTATTAAAGAGTGTCCGCTGAAAAAAAGCAAATTAAGATGGCGCCATAGTAGCAAATGGAGATTTTACAAACACCGCCATAAACTACCACAATAATTTGCTCTTTACAAGTGGACACTTCTTCAACTTGTCCTCTATATGAGAATGTAGTGTACCTCTAATTTAAAAGCTATAAACAAATTCTATCGCATCGAGATGTTTTGCGAAAAGTTTTTAGTATCATAATTAAAGAAGTCATGGTCACAAGACAAAATGCGAGACAAATTTCATTTATTTGATATACAATATCCAACCTATACGAACACTGATTGGAAGTATTTTTATGAGCAATAGCAACGGCTTATTGAAATTTTTTGTATCATTAATAAATTACATAGTGACAGTTATAATATGTGGTCAATATTTCTTCTGGATTTTGAGTCGCAGACATAAAATTATGTTAGTTAACTAGTTAATTAATTAACGTTTTTTATTGTCATTATATTTACTTTCGACGTATCAAATACTTACAATTTTCTTGTGTATTCTTTTATAAAAGTCGTATTTTTATTAAAAAAAATATCAGCACTTTTACGGTTATAATTTCGCGTTTGTTATTTATATTATTATAGCAGACACGACAGACTTGGTAGTGCCTCAATCGATAAATAAAAGACCTAAACTTTTGTATAAAATAAACTTAAAACAAAAAGAATCCGTCCGACGGGGGACACATCAAAGAAAAAACAAAATTGTTTGTTTTTATATAATTCCGAGTATTTTCATATTTTTTCACCTTTTAAACCTTCTCTGAACTTCCACGAATAATTCAAGACCAAAATTAGCCAAATCGACCAGCCGTTTTCGTGTTTTAGCGAGACTAACGAACAGCAAGTCATTTTTATATATATACATAGATCATTTCTGACGTCCCGAACCTAGAAAGTTTTCGCGTCCTGTGTCAAGTGCCGTCTAATTTATATATGTTTATTATAACACCTGGGATCCTCTTATCGCGAAGATGAGATTACAAGTAATAACTGCCAGAGTTACTGGTCAGGCTCCGAGGTTTAATTGCGTTTCATTTTTGCGCTTGTGTGAAAACTGAAATTATTTGCTTAAGTTCAATCCAATATGGTGTCGGTGAAGTCATATTCTAGGTTTTTATAAGTAAAAGAGTGCAAACGAGCATATGAAATCAACTCGGTGCCAATTCATGACATGACTTAGGATCAAAAGTGAGTCGAGCTTGGAAAAGGTACCATTCAGAACAAAAGCTAGATATAAAATTATATAAAACATTAATAAAATTAAAATTGTCGTTTCTGCGACTCCGTTAAGGGCCAATCGTATGCACATAATTAGAATTGACATAACGATAACAAAGGGTTTGAAATTGAAACAAAAAAAAAAACGAGGATAGTATAGATAGGGGCAGATATAAATGCTATAAAACGTATCCCTTTGATATTAGACATCCCCCTATTTGCGTGTGGGAAGCCGCGGCTTGTGCATTATACTGGGACTTACTGGGTTTAAGTTTTAATCATTCCCGTATACTAAGCGGATCCGGGACTGTATTGTTTAGGTCGAGGTACCTTTGAAGTGGTTTTTGATTAACACTCATGTGTCACAGCTACGCAAGGGGCAGGATGAATTCTGTACTAACGCACGACCTGGTAACACGTTCCGAATTATTCGATTTGCGTTGTAGTATGCAATATTATTTGCCTATTTTAATATTTAACGCCTGATTGGTTCCGTCTGCTTGACATCTAAATTGAGCAAATAAAAACAAGTGATATCTTTCAAATTATACCTGGTTTTGTAGTCTCGTTGGTCGGGCGGTAACCGACTCATTTAATGTGGTTTTATCAAATACATTTGGTATTGGAGTGTTTTTTTTTAATCCTACCTCAGCTGACAAGCCTTGAGAGCTTATGTCAGCGTAACTTAACAAGTGGGTGAGCGCACGGCGCTCAAACCTGACGACGTTGCTAACATTGACCCTAGCAAGAACAGAGTGCTTCGCAGAATCTACCGCCGGAAACGCGACCCACTGAGAAGATCCGGCGAGAAACTCAGTGGGCTGTGTCTGTGGGTTAATTAAATTGCCGAGCCCTTCGTCGCGAGCGACGGGTTCGACGAGAACGATGACCGGGTTAGGGGTGTGTGCTGGTCCTTTATGTTTCTGTTCTGCTTTGTGTTTTTATGATACCCATAACACAAGCGAATGCACAAGCTTTTGGGTATTTAATTTTATGTTTGACTGCTCGTTGAATAGTAGAATTCGAATTACCATGAGAAACGTTTAGAAATTAAACTTTGGCTCTTGCCACATATACACGATCTTCTGTTGGGTTCATATATGTGACAGTTTGTTACTTTCGATATCCTATTACAATTGTAATAATTTTCGGTGTAAACTTGATTAATAATACGTCAGTACAATTAAGGCGACGTAACTAACCCATAGACACAGCCCACCGAGTTTCTCGCCGGATCTTCTCGCGATTCCGATCCGGTGGTAAATTCTGCGAAGCACTTCTAGGGCTCGTGTTAGCAAATTCTCTCAGATTGAGCCGGTGGGCTCACTTACCGACAGCGAGAAGATGGAATCTCTCTTTAAGCTATCAGCGAGTAGGTAGGGAAAAAAAATAGGCCGATGTTATTCAAACTACTGTTTTCCCGATGATCGAAATTCGACCATAATCATTAATGCCTTAAAATTCATTTTACGTTTAACATTAAAACTTTTGTTTTGTAAGCAATCGAGAATCGGTATAAAATAAAATATAAAAAAGAAAATAGTCTTTATTTATTTATATGTATAAATAGCTACGGATGAGTTTATCATTCTTGGTGACCTTAATACCGACCTTTGACTAAATTTAATCCATTTTTTTTAATAGGAACAGTAATGTTAATTTGTCGTACAGCTATATTATGTATTCGCTAAAATATTCCGTTTCCGTAAATGACTCGTCGTTTGTCAATTGACTGAGTTCCATCAGTGATCTTCCAATGTCAAAGCTAAAGATAGAAGTTGAACTTATGGCAAATCATGGTTAACAAGGCGTTTTCTTAGCAATCAAGACGAACAGCCAATTGATATCTTCATTTACGTTTGAATTCGTAGATAATAACTAACAAAAATATCCACTCGCCGCGGATTTTTTTTAGTTTGCAAATTACACATGTTTTATTGGGATGATTACTTAAAGTATCTCAAATATTAATTACAATGTATTTATTGAGAAACACATTGCATGATGTACATAGATCTGTTGCTAACTGGTCAGTCACTCAACTCAGACCTTTTATTTTTTCGTGCTGGGAACCGAACCTCCTACGAGGTCCCGCGTCTAGGGAGCGCGCGGAGTATTTGAGGCTGTACGGTCTATTGCGGACACATTTGCGGACTCCGCAGGTGTTGAGAGCGGACCGCGGGCCCAAGGAATGGAGTTTAGGACACTGCTCACTAAACGACTCCCCTGTACTTTTTCACCCGACGTCCGATGTCCGTCCGCGGTCAGAACCCGGTCAGAGTAGGGTCTTCCCACGGTCAACACTACAACCAGACTTGCGGCACCACCCCGAGGAGGCCTTCTCGATACCCACCCACAGATATTATGTTATGCCTAGTTTTCGAATTCAGTATTTGTGTTAATCACGAAAATTTATTATTATTGTCTGAGCTAATACATCTAGTCAATTAATTTTGTAACATGTTCTTCAATTAGTTGATATCATATTGTTACAAAATTCGTATGTAGTTTAATGTGGCTTCATCAGTAATTTTAACAATAATATTACAAACGCATCATTCCGATGTGTGGTTGTTGCGCAATTTTATTATTTTAGTCAGCACATTATAGAGCACGTGGCTTCGTTAAGTTCTGATGAATCATTTGAGACGACACCTTCATCTTTTTGCTATCGTACCTAGAGTTCGACTATACTTTCTGGAATTGTTGAGTTTATCACAATTCGTTTCCGTGATTTTTTTTTTGCTTAGTTGGTTGCACGAGCTCACAGCCCGCCTGGTGTTAAGTGGTTACTGGAGCTCATAGACATCTACGATGTAAATGCGCCACCCACCTTGAGATATAAGTTCTAAGGTCTCAAGTATAGTCACAACGGCTGCCCCACCCTTCAAACCGAAACGCATTACTGCTTCACGGCAGAAATAGGCGGGGTGGTGGTACCTACCCGCGCGGACTCACAAGAGGTCCTACCACCAGTAAAAAATATCTTTAATGCCACGTGCCATTCGGGCTTAGAATGAACTCCCCTCCGCATTGTTGCACGAGGACATGAGATGTCCTTCTTCAGTTGAGGTTTGGGGAGAGTATAGCAGTAGGAAACTGCTTGGGTGTGGCTCAAGCATACACCATTTAAGCCATATGCTCATTCGCTTACAAAAGCAATGAAAAGACGCGTTTCATTTTACTAATCATATCCCACTGTGACCGCTCCGTGATCGATACGAAAACCGCCCATTATAAAATTACTCTTATCGTACGTTTACGAAAATATAACAGAAACCTACAAAAAGTTTCAATCCAATCGGACAAAAAACGAGCTAGAGAATAATGCCCTAACAAATTACACCAAAAGATTCCTCTTTACATAACTACTTAGATTAGAGAATTACTATAAAAATGTCGGTATCAATAATGATAAAGTAGAAAACATTTGGAAAGTCGTAGCTACGCTCTTTCTCTACGGCTTGTTCGATGTCACAATTATAAGCATTAATTTAAAAAAGCAAAACGTCTGGTCTATTACAATGTCGGAACGCGCCTATTTAATCAACGATTCAGATCGCAGTAACGTGGACAGTGACCGTTGGAACATGATAAAAACGAAACGAATCGATCAGTGATACGAATGCGAACGATGCTATAAGGAACGTCAAGATGATGAAGTTTAAATCGTTGTTCCGTAGAGGACCTAGTCAGGGGAAACAGGAGGCCACGCTGAAAGGAGCTCCTTCAGTGTCCAGCCTCGATTCCAAGCACCACAAAGTAGCGCCAGCAAGAGACAAAGCATTAAAGCTCTTCGGCTCGAAGGAGAAACTGCACAAGGCACACAAAAAGAAGGATCTCGGGAATAATAATGCGGTTCTAGAGGACCCCGAGCTTAGAGAGAGCTTGGAATACGAAGATGGACAGGTCGGAAGGGATTACGGAAGCGCCGAGGAGCTGGGTGGATCGGTAGACGAACGAGGCTCCCAGGAGTACGTTAGCCTGCCGGTCACTTTAAATGCTGACCACATGCCGGGCTTTCCGGACGTGGAGCTCATGCCTGCAGCTCCATCAGAGGTATGTACACGATTTTCTAGAATATACGTTAGCAGAGCAAACTTTTATTGTCTTATGTGGTCATTTAAGTTTGGGAAAAAAAATCAATATTATGATCTCAATACTGGTCAACATATCAGTATCGTGAGTTGAGAAAATCTCAAATTCTATAACAAGGCGTGTTCAAATACGCAATCCGAGTTTTATGAGCGTATTTTCTTTCAGTCAAGTAATTGGCATGGCAAATCCCATATACATGTCAATGATTTGTCGGCTCCTGAGAAATATTTACTTAACACTTATGCACTTATGCAGGCAGATAGCAATTTAACTAACTAAATACGTACATAACTTGTGTTAACGGATGATTTTAACTATCACCACTAGGGGCCACAGTGCTGGTCGCTTAACATGCATTTCAGTTTGAAGGCTTCGATAACCATTATAATATACAAATGAAACTTGCCCATACTCGCATGGGCAGTATGCTCAACCAGCAGTAAATCAAGGTTTGTTATACATATATACCATACGCCGAAGATCGGACTTACTAGTGTAAATTGTTAGGGACCTATGTCCAGCATACGACGACTGTGGGCTTATGACGCTGATGATGATAATAGGATAATACTCAGAGAACGTTGCTATTCATTATTAACCAAATCCCTTACCATTAGGCTTTACCCTTACGCACACGAGAAGAGTTGGGATAGTGCTTTTCTGGGCCAACATCACACAATACCCTTACCTTTGGCTTGATATGACCATGTTCACAAGACAAATGGTGGATTTTTTTTATATCTCACATACGATGTCTGTAGATATGAACCGATATCTGTTCCAATATCTGGTAAATGGTACAATGCGGGGCGACAAAAATCTTGGTCGATTCTTGACCTATCATTTTAACGTTACAGGCATCATTAATATCAGGAGCCCGTGAGATAGAGACACTGAGGAGGGAACTGGAAATAAGCGCAATGGAACGAGCACAGCTACAAGCGAGGGTCGACGAACTCCTCGAGAAGGCCACCGAGGCTGATAGGCTGAGAGCTGAACTGGATAAATTGAAGGTTCGTGGTGTTAAACCTGCGGTCATTGACTTTTAGACGTTTCAGACTGCAGTCGTATTAACATCAAAGAAATGCTTAATGTCTAGCTTAGAGCAATGTATGCGTAACAGTTTCTGATTATTGTTTTTTTTTATTGCTTAGATCGGTGGACGAGCTCACAACCCACCTGATGTTAAGTGGTTACTGGAGCCCATAGACATCCACAATAGAAATAGAGAGGGTGGTGGTACCTACCCGCACGGACTCAAAAGAGGTCCTACCACCAGTAAAAAACGTATTACGCCATTAACTTTTCAATGACTAGTTTGGGCTAATATTTCGCGACTAATAGTTACGGTGATCGGGGAAACATGTTGCTGTCTCATGTCTCACATGGCCATAGGTGGGTGGCAATGACAAGCTAGCAGCATTTTCTTCAGAGATTGCCGATACCGTAGTATTTTTTACGGTATTTCTATCGCTTATTAAATAGAATTAGCGGCACTCATTACCAGAACCAGAACGTATACCCCATGTGAATGCTGCCACTCACTCAGAGACTTCAGGTCCAATTCTCAATGTATTTTGTGTAACGGTTGTTGTCAAACCAGGAACGGATGACTCTGCCCCGCGACAAATATACAGGATAGTGGTTTCGGAAGAAGTTTATCATTAAATGTGAGAGACCGTTAAAATGTTGTGTAATCCCAATAAATAGAGACATATTTGTTGACCTAATGATCTCCTTATCGTATGTGAAAGAAATAAGGGTCAACATTGTCTGGTTTCGTGTGTTTGTTTGTTAGGTAGGTACCGCCGCCCTGTCTATTTCTGCCGTGAAGTAGTAATGCGTTTCGGTTTGTAGGGTGTGGCAGTCGTTACACTGTAAAAACTGAAAGCTCAGAACTCATGTCTCGATATGGGTGGCGGTATTTACATTGTAGGTGTCTATTGGCTCCGGTAACCACTTATCATCAGGTGGGTCGTGAGCTTGTCCACCCATATAAGCAATTAAAAAAAAACTTTGTCACTAAGAGTCTTGTATGTCGATAGTGGTACTTTTGATCTGTGTGCTTAGTGTGAGTTTTTTAACTTCTCGATCGCGTAAAAGTTAACTCAAATTTGTATGGAGTTGGAACAGCTTCTTTACCGCTAGGGGCGCTGTTCCAATTCCATAGAAGTTCTTTATTGCTTAGATGGGTGGACGAGCTCACAGCTCACCTGGTGTTAATTGGTTACTGGAGCCCATAGATATCTAGGACGTAAATATGCCACCCACCTTGAGATATAAGTGCTAAAGTCTCAAGTATAGTTACAAGTTGGAGCATTAAGTACAGTGTATTGTGTTTGCGTTTAGAGCGTGGAAGCGGAACGCGAGGCGGCGCTAGAGCGTCTCGCCGACGAGAATGGGGCGTTGCGCGCGCGGCTGCGAGGTGTCGCGCACTCGCCGCTCTCCGACAGCGAGAAGCGGCAGCTGCTGCTCGCGCCAGCACCCCGCCGCATGCACTCCTCGGCGCCGGCCTCCATAGCGCTCGCCCACAATGTACGTAGCCCGTTAAGAAACTTATAACCAGCGGACATCATCCAGCCACTCGAATTGACGACTACTTACTCATCTTCTAGCTTTGCCTTTAGTTTGTACTCTTTAAAAACGTTTAGCAAAATGGAGCTATTTGTTTATCGAAGAATTGGCATTATAATTAGCCGTGGCGAATTTACCAGGGCGAAGGCGACAGCGGAGAGGCGAGCACCCCGGAGTGGGACAAGCACTCGTCCTCCTCGCTCAGCGAGGTGTCGGTCGCGTGTCTGCAGGACCGCATCCTGCAGATGGAGGAACACCACTATAGGTATACTAATCTGTTTAGCCCTTATTGACTATTTGGCGGGAACGGTAGGCAGCGACTTGGCTCTGCCCCTGGCATTGCTGAAGTCCATGGGCGACGGTAACCACTCACCATCAGGTGGGCCGTATGCTCGTCTGCCTACAAGGGCAATAAAAAAAACGCGTCGAGTAAAGTTGTGTGATTTGTTTTATTTTGTCTATTTAGTTGTTTCTTCAAGCTTAAATGTGTAATAACGGTGGCTTATTATATCTGTGAAAGTGCACAAATGTGGGAAAATGAAATAGAGCAGCTGGACGTAGCTTCTGGGGATCGTGCAAAAAGCCCACTGAAAAAATCTCAGTAAATGACCACCATTTTACTGAAATCATATTTCATCCCATATCATCTCACCTCATTTCATTTAATTTCATCTCAGTTGATTAATATCTCAAATTAACTGTTACTAGATGATGACTAGATTTTTTTTATAACGCCATCTTGTTGTTTCTTTAAAACAGTTAGTTGCCCTCAATTAAGAAAAATAGTATTATTATTCACCAATAGATGTCGGGAAGAGTTGATTATTGTAAACACGAATAAAACAACATTTTCTGAAAATAAATCGTAGCTAGATCGATTTATCGCCCCCGAAATCCCCTGTATACTAAATTTTATGAAAATCGTTGGAGCCGTTTCCGAGATTCAGATTATATAAGTGTATATTAATATACAAGAATTGCTCGTTTAAAGGTATAAGATAAGATAAGTGTAAAAAATATACTCCTCCGTCCGCGCAATTTTCGTAAAAAGAGGGGTACAAAGTTTCTGCTTCACGTATAAATATATAGATAATATAGTCTTCAAAAAGTATAGTATCATACTAGTCATAAGATATATATTACGTTTTGCAGCACAAGCGAAGAGCTCCAAGCGACGTTGGCGGAACTTGCAGACCTGCAGTCGCAACTGGCCGACGCTCACGCGGACAACGAGCGTCTGGCTGACGAGAAGCAGGTCCTGCTGGAGTCCCTCTGTCGGCAGACTGAGAAACTCGAGGACAGCAGGACGAAGGTGGGTAGGAAGAGAAAAATAGTTTTTTTTCTGTAGTAAACACCTGGTACAAGTAAATGGTATACAATACCTCCTGCGTCCGTATCCCGGTAGACTAAGCCGCTATGCCCGTGCATCAACTGTTTTTTATTTTGCACTAGCTCACCCGGCAGACTTCGTAGTGCCTCAATCGACAAATAAAAGGCCTAAATTTTGTATAAAAATAAACTTAAAACAAACAAAAGGAATCCGTCCGAAGGGGGACACATCAAATGAAAAACAAAATTGTTATTTTTATTTAATTCCGAGCATTTTCATATTTATCTACGTTTTAAACTTTCTCTGGACTTCCACAAATAATTTAAGCCCAAAATTACCCAAATCGGTCCAGCCGTTCTCGAGTTTTAGCGAGACTAACGAACAGCAATTCATTTTTATATTATATCATGTATAGCTTGTTAGATTCGAATTAGGTTTTTTTTTTAAAAATCCTGTATATTTGCCACCATCAAAGTTTATTTTGATTTTTATGGAAATAAGGTCGATTGATTGAATTTGATTTTTTGGTTTTCATGTAATAAAATATTTTTGCAGGTGGACACACTACAAGAGCTATTATTGCGTGAGGGCATTGAACCCGTGAACCTGGTCCCCGGGGACACGGATCAACAGCTGTTCGCCATGTTGAAGGTAACATCTTCAATGTTGACTTTGCTTTTTTTTTAAAACTCTAAACGTCAGTGACGTAAGGTCGAAAATGCTAGATCGAATTTCGTATGCAATATTTATTATTATAATACATTTAAAAAAAGCAATGGAAGGATGTGGAAGCTCCAAAAAAAAAGGTGACATATTTCCGTTTGGGAGTGATTTTTGCGACAAGAATACCTTATAATACATTTATGCTGACGAGAATTATTTTTATAATTTAATATTAAATATTTCTCAAAAATATCTGAGATTTTTTTGTGGCTTCTGTTTCAGATTTATCAATTGTATAATTTATGGATATCATTAAACAAAGATTGATGTTGTATTATTACATAGTGTGCACTATTACACATACAATGTGCATAGTTACGCGCCCACGAGCGGTTGTATGTTTTGGAAGCCAACACGGATCAGTACCACCATTCTATGTCTGCCGCAGACCAGTCATCCGTCCGGTACAAGGACATATACAATACAATTGAGACGCCTCTAACCTCATGTTTTTTTTTTATTTTTTATTGCTTAGATGGATGGATGACCTCACAGCCCACCCGGTGCCAAGCGGTTACCGGAGCCCATAGACATGTACAACGTAAATGCGCCACCAACCTTGAGATATAAGTTGTAAGGTCTCAGTATAGTTACAACGGCTGCCCTACCCTTCAGACCGAAACGCATTACTGCTTCACGGTAGAGATAGGTGGGGTGGTGGTACCTACCCGCGCGGACTCACAACAGGTCCTACCAGCAGTCATGTCCTGAAAATCGTTTGAGTCTCTGAGCCGATTATCATCATAAAACATATTAATACTTCTGTATTTTAAAATGAGTCTCAATTCGTTATCCGCAGATGTCGCAGGAGGAAAGAAAGCATCTGTTAAGTAAACAGGAACAGCTGGAAGAGGAGTTGAGTCAACTGAAAACGAGTTTAGAAGAGAAAACCAAAGAAAATGAAGCTCTCAGTGAGAGAATTAGGTGAGGTCCTCACGTTGAGTTGTTGATGGGTGTCGCAGACTAAACAAACCCTTAATGCTTGATAATAATAGGGCAATTTGATATGACGTCTCTTTTTGCGGTCGTCGTGCCCTAAAGGATAAGACGTCCGGTGCATTCGTATATAGCGATGCACCGGTGTTCGAATCCCGCAGGCGGGTACCAATTTTTCTAATGAAATACGTACTCAACAAATGTTCACGATTGACTTCCACGGTGAAATGTAGGTATATTGTGTAATAAAAATCAAACCCGCAAAAATTTAATTTGTGAAATTACTGGTGGTAGGAGGAGGTCTTGTGAGTCCGCGCGGGTAGGTACCACCGCCCTGCCTATTTCTGCCGTGAAGCAGTAATGCGTTTCGGTTTGAAGGGTGGGGCAACCGCTGTAACTATACTGAGATCTTAGAACTTATATCTCAAGGTGGCTGGCGCATTTATGTTGTAGATGTCTATGGGCTCCAGTAACCTTTTAACACCAGGTGGTCTGTGAGTTCGTCCCATCCAAGCAATAAAAAAAAAACTCACAAGGGGTCGTACCAGTAGTAAAGTTATGTTGTGTTGTCGCGGCAGGTCGCTGGAGAGCTCGCTGGAGTGCTCGCGCGCCGAGAGCGAGCTGGAGGCGCAGGCGGCGCGGGACCTGGCCGCCGCCCGCCAGCACCAGGTCGCCACGCTCTCCGACCTGCTCGACGCCGCTAAAGCCAAGGTCAGCACCGTGACCATACTCTCTGTACCTCATTTTTCTTTATTGCCCTTGTAGGCCGACGAGCATACGTCCTGATGGTGAGTGATTACCTTCGCCCATGGACTTCAGCAATACCAGAGGCAGAGCCAAGCCGCTGCCTACCGCTCATCGTCTACAGCACCGCAGAGATCTATGTTGGTGCTTCCGAATGTACGAGTCATGTATTGTACAGGGCACGCGCGAATTCACATCAGCACTTTTACGTCGCTTTACTCAAATCGTAGTATAAAGCGCCAGTACTGTATGCGCGCGAGCTCATGTCCATCGGGGCCAGAGGCGCCGCGCGGGGGGCAGCTCGTCCCGCCTCCGCCCGCCTCCCCGCATTTGTCTGACGTCGAGTGTTGTCCTTGTCGGATGTGACGCACGCTTATCGATATCGAAAATTTACGCTAACGCTATTGTTTTATTTAACCATGACTACTCCGCTTCCAACAAGTTCAGATAGAAAAAAATCTACTCAAAAAAGATACATACTGATTCCGACTTTGATCTGTCGGTTGTCTTTGTATTTGATAGTAATTGAATTGGAATTTAAAAAATATTTTTCTTATCTATTTATTACCTTAAGTTACATTAAACCAAATTGACAGCTGATGACTAAACCGGTAGTTATTATCGACATTACCATAATTAACTAGGTCACAGCACTACCGCATTTCTTAGGATGGACATGAACTCGCGCGTCTACTGTACACGTTCAGCAGTCATATACAGCGGTACTCACCACATCAACATACATAGATAGATATAATTATAATGAACGTATATTCTTTGATTATCAGTGATTTCTTCCTATCTAAATCTCAAGTTGTATACGCCACATTCAGCAGCGCATACAGGAAAGCTGAATAACTGTTGAATTATGAATATAAGTTCGGATCAGATCAGCTTGGAACCTCTGAATAGGGCGTTGTTAAAGGGTGGTTGCCAAATGGAAAAAAAAATATATATATAATAATATTATTTTAAGACACGTTTTTCAAATTATATATTTGTTTAAAAAATTAAAAATAATAAAAAAAAAAAAATTTACGATTCACTAAGTTTCAATTTTTATTTAATAACTTTCATTTAATATTGAAAATGCTTAGATTGAGATCACGGATTCGAAAAGTGCAAATATGCATATCCCGTTTGTTCGGACTAGGCGAGAATTTTAGTCGAGTACCGAGTAATTTAGTGGCTAAACCACTCGCTACTCGCCCGAAAAAGTAGAACAAAATGGACTTGACTAAATTATTTACTAACCTACTCGACTAAATTTTTAGTGCTCAGACACATTTAGCTACTAAATTACTCGGTACTCGACTAAAATACTCGCCTAGTCCAAACAAGGCTTTAGTTGTACTGTTAACACTTTAGTGCGAGTTTTTAAAATTTCTCGATAACGTAAAAGTTAACTCTAAATTGTATGGAATTGAATTATTTGCTTATGTTTGGCGCTAGGGGCGTTGTTCGTCTGCATACAAATTTGAATTAACTTTTACGCTATCGAGAACGTTAAAACACTCGCAGTAAGCAGACTGGTAATATCTGGTAATGTGTCGTGGCGCGTCTAGTTGTCGGAGGGCGCGGGCGCGGCGGCGGGCGCGGCGGAGGCGGAGGCGGCGGCGGCGGCGGCGCGGCGGGACGCGGAGGCGCACGCGCAGCGCGCACACGCCCTCGCCGAGCGCCTCGCGCACGCGCACCGCCAGCTCGACCGCGCGCACTCCGACGCGCGCAAGCTGCACGACGACGCGCTCGTAACTATACCCTTTCTTTTCCTACCTATGCTGATAGTCTTGAGAGGCTATTTCAGCGTAACCTTAACTAGTAGGTGAGCTCATGGGGCTCAAACCTGACGACGTTGCTAACACGAACCTTAGCAATCGCAGCCCTAGCTTCACAAAATCTACCACCGGATCGGAAACGCGACCCGCTGAGAAGATTCGGCGAGAAACTCAGTGGGCTGTGTCTGTGGGTTAATTTACTCGTTGAGCCCTTCATCGCAAGCAACGGGTTCGGCAACTATACGCCTTGGTCACATTCACACACAGACTCCTAGTGTCGATTTTATCTGAGAACATCTATATCGTCTTCAACTGTTTTCAACTTTTTTACTGGTGGTAAGACCTCTTGTGAATCCGCACGGATAGGTACCACCACTCTGCCTATTTCTGCCGTGAAGTAGTAATGCGTTTCGGTTTGAAAGGTGGAGCAGCCGTTGTAACTGTACTGAGACCTCATATCTCAAGTGGGTGGCGACATTTATCTGCTAGATGTCTATGGACTCCGGTAACCACTTAACACCAGGTGGGCCATGAGATCGTCCACCCATCTATGCAATAAGAATAATAAAAAAACTACTTTTAAAGAGCGTGGTAGTGTTTAAATGCACACAATTTGCCCACAAATGCCCTTAAAAGTAGACGAGCATATGGCCCACCTGATGGTGAGTGGTTACCGTCGACCATGGACTTCAGCAATGCCAGGATCAGAGTCAAGCCGCTGCCTACCGTTAATAAAAAGTACTACAATTCTCCAAGGGCTAGATTCATTGCTACACGACCGCGTGTGAATCCGCCGTATTAAAGCCAGTAACCGATAAATTGTTTATCGCAAATGTTCCCAGGTGTCTCGCAACAACGCGAAGTCGACGATCTCCGAGCTGGAGTTCCAGGTCGAGCAGCTGCGGCAGGAGAAGTCCGCCATGCAGGGCGAGATCAACACCCTGCAGGAGAACATTTCCGAGATGCAGATACAGGTGCGTACTGACTAACCAACGTCATATGGATGAGCGTTTTTTTTTTCTTTATTGCTTAGATGGGTGGATGACCTCACAGCCCATCTGGTGTTAAGTGGTTACTGGAACCTATAGACATTTAGAACGTAAATGCGCCACCCACCTTGTGATATGAGTTCTAAGATCTCAGTTTAGTTACAACGGCTGCCGCGCCCTTCAAATCGAAACGCGTTACTGCTTCACGGCTGAAATGGGCAGGGTGGTGGTACCTACCCGCGCGGACTCACAAGAGGTCCTACCACCAGTAATAAACAGTTTCTCGCCGGATCTTCTCAGTGGGTCGCGTTTTCGATCCGGTGGTAGATTCTGCGAAGCACGGCTCTTGCTAGGGTTCGTGTTAGCAGCGTCATCAGGTTTGAGCCCCGTGAGCTCACCTACTAGTTAAGGCGACGCTGATATAGCCTCTCAAGGCTATCAGCTTAGGTAGAAAAAAAAAACTGACGAACCAACGTCATATTGATATGTGGATAACATTCACTTGTTTCTTTTAATTGATCTGCTGTCCCCTGATTGTAGTTTAGAAATATATCTATACTAGCCGTACTCGCCCGCTTCGCCGCGCATTTAAAATTAGCATTACTATTTATTGGCATTATTATTAGGGAGTCCAACGCTCATATAAATATTAGCCTATCCATTAAGTACATGTATTTTCTACATGGATACCAAGTTTCAAGTCAATCGGATGCACGGTTCAGCAATTATAACGTAACATCCGTAAAAACCACTGTAGATTTATTTATTAGTATAGAGTATAGATTCGATACATCGAAAATAATAAAATGACAATAAAAAACGCGATATTAAATCGTTAGTTTTAATTTTAATCTTAAACTTGTGAAGTGATCAATTTTATGTTAATCAAAATAACGGCTTCCAGGTCCAAGTGGCTACTGACGAGAAGCTGACGCTGATGAGTCGGGCCGGAGAGGCTATCGCCAGAGCCACGGACTTTGAGAGGCAGCTCCAAGAGGCAAGGGCCAGGAATGCTCAGCTCACGAGGGACAGAGAAAGAGACGTGAGTATACTAAAAAAAAAGTGAAGATAGAGAGAGAGAGAAAGAGAATACACTTTATTGCACACCAAAACACAATTTAAATTCAAAAAACAGTCAAAAAGCAGATAGATTTGTACAATAGGCGGTCTTATCGCTAAAAGTGATCTCTTCCAGGCAACCGTTTAATTTACAGAAATTCTGGAAAATATAAAAATATAGCAGGTATGTGTTGCGGTGTACTAAAGACAATACATTAATATAGAAAATACATATATACATATTATATATAATAAACAGATATATACCGTTTGCATATAATATGAAATATATAGCTAACTGATTTATATACCAATATAAATACTTACATACAATACATACTAATATACTTACATACACATAATAATCAAGAGGAAATGATTGAATGGGTAGACCACTCTAACCTACTTATATCTGCCCTCAAGCAGTCATGCCTTCCAGTTCGATGGGTGATGGAGTCTTTAAGCTATACAGTTGAGATCTCTATTCTCAAGGTGGTCATATTTATATTACGACATTTTGGGAGACTTAACGACAAAAGGAAGATCTTCCACCGAGCAAGTGATATTAGTACTCTCGGTAGACCGACGGTCCGAATGTTGTTATTCGGAACTTGTATATGAGACCGTCCGCGCAAAAGTGGCCTAACCCACAATTTTTTTATATTCAAGTTTATTATATGTTTAATGGAATTTATTTAAAATATAGTTAATAAATTTTTAAGCAAAACCGCAAATATAGTTAATAAATTTTTAAGCCTTAGTTTCACCCATAAATAACAGATAGCTTTATAAACATTATTTTTGCGCGTATTGTTTTTTGGCCTATTCAAATTCAATTTCATGAAAATTCAACCTAATTGCCTCCATACTAGTAGCTATGGTAAGCTTAGGCCACTTTTGCGCTGACGGCCTCATATATATGCAAGCTTATCTTGAAGATGTCGTAAGCGACACATTCAAGCATCTGTCAACCTTGGAGACGTTAACTTTTTTTTTTTTTGTTAATTTACAGGAAGCCGAATGGAAGCAATTTCAAAGTGATCTACTGATGACTGTGCGAGTCGCGAACGATTTTAAAACGGAGGCCCAGCGTGAGTTGGAGCGACTCGTCTCCGAGAATAAAATCGCGCGCGACCGCATCAGGCTGTTAGAAGATCAGATACACTCGCTCAAAGGTGAGACAGAGAGGCCCTATTGAGATTTTCAGTTGTTTGAAAGGGACCGCATGATTTTTGGACTGCCCACGCGATGTTCGAACGCAAATGTTATCTATTCGATTTTGTTTCGAAATTAGTGTAAGATTTATCGAGTCGATTCGTATCGATTTTGTGTATCGATTAATTAAAAGGGCATGTGCTGCTAAATTTCTGAAAGTTTTGTAATATACTTGCGTAGGTACTAGAACTTGAACATAGGAATGCATGGATGTTTTTCTTATTATATTTAATTTTTTTAGTAGAAAATAGTTTTTATTGTGTATACTAGAGCAGAATTAACATGCATTACAGTGCACTAATTCTGTGTAAGGCTTGCGTTAATATCCACGTCAGTCTCATAGAACTAACTAACGAGATGTAGCATGTACTTGGCGTATTTCAAATTGGAAGTTTCGTAAAGTAATGAATTATCTTATTTTAAATATATATTATAATAGAATTGTCTTAATGTACCATATAAATTAAGAGCGAAGAACAAATTTGAAATGGTCCAAGTCAAACGTAATGTAATGTATATAAATGTCAACTCCTTCTCAATATTCTAATCACCGTTTTTAATGTACCATAACAGGTATTGACAGGTCAGAATCAATGGATAGCGTAATTAATTGCTCTGAAGACGAGAGATTGTTATCGAAAGACACGGATTTGTGTGATTCACAAAGCGATTGTTCGTCTAAAGACGTTTTTAAGAACATCACGACCAGATATTTGTCTAGAGTTCATAGCGTCTCCGATCCTCCGCCGCGTGATTCGAGTATCGTAGATCAAGCTTTCCGCAAACCGAATAACTCGGATTGTAATATCGATGTGACGAATGGATTGAAAATTGAAATCAATAACGTGACGACCGACGAAAGCAATGATGACGAACATATAACAAGTGTTGTTTCCGATGCCGAAGAAGCTGGAGATGAGGTCGTTTCACCTCTATTTCACAACAAAGAGCTGAAGCGACAGGAGGCTGTTGACCTTTTCAGCGAAAAGCTTAACAGACAAGACGCTTTTGATAGTGATGATTTGGTAACAATGAACGATACGGAAGCGGTAGTTGAAAATTTTACTGCGAACGTAAAATCAGTTTCGCAGTCCGAATCTGGTAACGTAATAGAACGTAGAAACAAAACGGTGTTCGGCACAGAAATTTCGGGTTTACTGAATGGGAAACCAAAGGCTTTAAGTATGGATAGTTTGAATCCTAACACCGAATTCAAAGAGGTGTTAAAAGAAGCCACCAGTATAGAGCTATTTCATTGTGGCCCTAACGAAAGCGACCTGTCTATATTTACAGAAGGGTCCGACTGCGTTTTTTTATCGCCCATCGAAAAAAATAACAACGATTCTACAAAAAATTGTAATTTTATTAAAGAACAAACGGAAACGCAGTCTCTGTCTCCATATAGCGATCTCGTGGATTACGCCAAAGACATACCAGTTGTTAAGGCAGAGTCTATTCTGCCTTTTCCTTATCCAAATGACATAAGAATGGAACCGACCGTTGATATTTTAAAACCATTGCCCCAAACCAAAGAGCAAGGCCTACGAGTGTGCACAGACGATAAAATCGAAAGGGATTTGAGAAAAGTAAACGAAGAATTAAAATTGACATTCAAGGCGGCCATAGAACGAATAATTGGAAATAACAGAACGAAAAGATCATGTCGGATAAAATCGAACAGTTCAGATACGTGTTCGGTGATTGATGTTGCGCAATACAATGATTATATTGACGGCAATATTGCTAAGGAGGTTTTATCTAGTCTTCAATCAAAGTCAGTTGATAACGAAATCAAAGATTGTGAACAGAATGTAAATGAAAATGAAAAGAAAAACTTTGATGAATCCACTCACTTCCCATTCAGCTCTGTAACTGAAGGGACGATACCTTTAGTAAATATAATAAATACGAACGACACTGATAATGAAGTGAAACAAGACAAGTCGGATGATAGTGGCGTTAGTTATCATTTAAAAATAAACACTAGAGATCCATTTCGTGGTCAAGCACCGAAAATCGTTGCAGTGCACAACGCTGTCGAGCCTGTACAACGACCGGCAAGAAAGCTAAAGACTTTTGTGTCGCCGATCAAAATACTCAACGGAAATATTGATCCAACATCGCCCATTATTATAAGTCCCGTTTTAATACAACCGATACTGTTAAAACCCAATAACGCGACGCAGAAATGTATTGCGCATCATGATATTAAGCAAGATAAGAAAACGGTTTATTACGATGATACCGATCAAGTTCTGAAAAAAGAAGCAAACCCTAGCGAAGTCAAAACAACCGAAGCGAATGTAAAGAAGAAAGGCATTTATCAGAAAAATACGAAGACCAAGCAATTGCCATTCTTGTCTTGGAAACATTTGGGTTCCAATGACGACATATCGAAAGAAGACCCGAAATCACCAATCAAAAGTAGTTTGAAATCTTCAGAAATGTCGAAAAACGATGTAGGGAAATTAACCAAAACACCGGAATGGTTGGTCGACAATCAGTACTACCAGCCTGTCGAAAATATTCCTTTCGTTATAAACACAAATCTAAGCTCTAGTAAACCAGTTCAAGAGGAAGTCAACATCAAAGAAGATGTTAAGCATATGAATACATTCTTGCCGCATTCAAGGCGGGAATCTGAAGAGAATTATTATGAAGAGATCGGTCCAGTTCTACCTACTTACTTGGATAAAAACGTAGCGGACGATGATAAGTTAACGAGCAGAAATCTTGACGATTTCGCTTTCATTACCAGAGAGGAAATCCTGAAAGTTCCTAGGAAACCGAAGAAGCCAAAGAAAGATGAAAGACAATCAAAACTAAGTTCTGATGGAAACTTAACGAGCATAGTAAAAGAATTGTCTGGTGTTACTAAATCCGTCATAACGTTATCTCGGTCTCCGAGTGCGAACTCCAACAAGAAACCTAGTGGCTCCATCGGGGAGATAGTACAGAGCTTAGAGAGGAAACCTCTGGAAGCTCGGAAGCCGGACGTGCCGCTGCGAAAGTTTTCCTTAGAACAAAAATCTACAAGAACTGATAGCGGGTCGTTGAACCGCGATAAACCGTATTGGAAGACGCTGGAGCACAAACGACTCTCGCACCCCATAAGGTCATTGAACGACCCCCTCCCGCCCAGACCGCTACGTAAGTTGGAAGGCTTTTGTGACCAGGAACCTAAACGTGTCGGTGTGAACTAAATGTAAATAACTGTTTATGTATGTTTGGCAAGTCTAATGTCGAGTGGTTTGTTGTTCTCATTGGGTGTGGGGTGTTTGGTGGTGGGTCTTGTGATTTTGTGTGTGTGTTTGTGTTCATTGGGCTATTTCACTGGGATTATGTCAAATTAAACCTTCATTCTGAAATCGTTTTCTGCGAATCAGACAAGTTAATTTTATAGGTGATCGAAATACGAACGCTATGCGGACTAGTTCAAACTTATGTTATTCACAGCATTGGTGTGGGATAGTATAAATGGAACAGCGATATATATGGAAATTCCTTTCTGTTTTACTATGTATATATAGTACATACAAACGGGAAACATTATTCATTTGCTAAGTTAATAATACCGTTACTGTATTACAAGGCAAAACTGTAACGTGATTCTTAAGTGAGTGATAATAGTGCTCAATAGTGATTTTGCGTTGGTCCATGTAATTTTGAAATATACCGTGTGCCGTGTAAATAATTATCTTGGCATTATAAAAAAAATACAGTTTTCCGAATTTACAATTCATTCACTGACATTTTTTGTTGTTGCAAATTATGAAATGTAATATTTATCGCCTTAGGAGCTATCAGCACTATCGTCTTTGCCAGCCAACGACCTTCTAGTACTCGGCAAATAAATTTTCCAGTTTAAATGTTTTTAGAGGTCTAAAATAAATTTCTTTTTTAATTCATGTTCCTTTTGAACTTTATAAGCGAGATGTTAAGGTATAGATTTGAATGCGCAGCGATGCCGCCTAGGACGGAAGAGCCGCCGCCTCCCCCGCCCCTGCTGAGCAGCGCCTCCCTCCAGGACATTATGGCGACGGCCGCTTCACATCGGCGGAATAAAGGTAAATTATATATATATANTATATATATATATAATTGGATGGTCTTCCTTTATGTAGATTGGCTGAACACCCCCAAGGATAAGAAGAAGTGGTGTACCTTAGAGGAGGTTTTTACCCGAAGGGGGTCGGTACAGAAATAATGTAAATAATAATCTATACATATAAATAAAATTGGAGTGTCTGTTTGTAATATTGAAATAACCGCTTTCTCTACATGAATATATATACGGTACATACACCAAAATAACATTTTTTACAATGTTTGTCCGTCTGTCTGTCTGTTTGTTCCGGCTAATCTCTGGAACGGTTGGATCGATTTTGACGCGACTTTCACTGACTTTCAAAGAGCAAACAAACCTGTTCATCCCACGAACGTTTGCCCGATGCGGTAATCGAACCTACGACCCTCGGCACAACAGTCAGGGCTGCTAGCTACTGCGCCACCTAGTCAATCAGTTTTCAACATGCTTATATTAATGTTTGTATCTAACAGAATCTTTGAACGTCAATTTGACGGACTCCAATACTGTTTAAGGCTGTTACAAGGCTATTTACATTCAATATCAAAATTCAATACAACTAAGACTACGATCTCATGTCTTCAGATGGATGGCCTCAATTCAGTTCGTCTGTTCGCTCCGATATCCCTTATAAACAAGTTAGACCATAAGTTCGTCTGTCCCTTATGCGCAATACCGTCTTTACCATAAGGGCACACGGGGCCCGTGCCCAGGGCCCCCATTCTCGGGGGGGCCCGAAGGACCGACAATTTCTCTCACACATTTATTCTCAAAACATTTTTGTCGGGCACATTACACTTTTTTCACAAATCAGTAATCTTATTAGAAGGTATTTAGGTAGGAAGGTAAGGTATTTACAAGGCATATACTACGCCATTATATCGATGACTGCGCCTATTACTACTGTAATTAATAATATTTCCGAACGCATCCTACCTAATTTACTAAGTAAACCCTCTAGCGATTACGATAACGGTTTCCGTTATCCAACCAAAAAACCAGCAGCATTCTAATATCATTAAATGACATATTATATCATACTGTATTTGATAACCTATAATAAATGGTCATACTCAGTAAAAAAATGTTATTATAATTCGCTTTTTTTTACTTTCCAAAAGGGCCTCAAATTCTTGTGTGCCCAAGGGCCCCAGCCTTATTTAAGACGTCCCTGCTTATGCGCTATGAACATAAAACGTATACATGGGTAATTCATATAAGTGCTTTTTGTCTGTTCAAGGGGTGAGCCGTCAAGATTCGAGGTTATCCGTGAAATCCCTCATCGAGAGCATCGAGAACGCTGCGAAGGCGGCCAAGCAACAGTCTCCAGCGTCGACCCCCGTCAACGAATGGCCGCAGGTGAAAATGAAAGCTTTGTCTATAGTACTAGTCTCGGGGACCGCCTAGTCAACTTTGGGTTTGCGAAGAGATCGGTTCTCTCTGCGTTATGTATGCACTATTGCACTATGCACTATTGGGTTTGTTTTGGATGTTACGTTTGTACGACAGCGCCTTCTGCTGTCGGAGCAGATACAGCACCGACGATACCACCACCAATACCAGCACCAATAAATTACATCTGCGCTAGGGCTAGGGCTATTTTTTTTTCTACCGAAGCTGATGGCCTTGGGAGGCTATGTCAGCATAACCGGGTGAGTAGGTGAGCTCAGGTGGCTCAGGGGGCTCAAGCCGGGAGTGCTGCTAACACTGGCCCTAGCAATCGCAGCCCTGCAGCGGATCGGAAACGCAACCCACTGAGAAGATCCGGTGACAAACTCAGTGGGCTGTGTCAATGGGTTAATTTACTCGACGAGCCCATCGTCGCAAGCGACGGGTTCAGTGAGGACGGTGACCGGTGCTTGTGATACCTAAAAGCACAGCTAATGGATCGGGAGGATCCGTGATGACGTGCTCAGGGCGACGTCGGCTGTTTACCATTCGACCCACAGGATCGACTATGTAATTACCGGCGGCCACGAAAAGAGGGTTTTCATATCGCATCACCTTCTCAAAGTGGCGTAATGATGCCGACTGTAAATACTTACTGACTGAGTCGAGCTCCAGGTCATGATGGAGATCCACATTCCTTAGGAAATATTGGCGCTATGTAACGTCTTTCTTCGAACGTAGGTACTTTGAGATGGAAGCTTTAGGCGGTCAATAGCTTGAATGTGTATCCGCTATTGGTGGGGGCGTGGAAGCCATAAGCTTGTGACCATTCGATGCCAAATCAATCATTAAAAATATATATACATATTAACATCTAAAAAAAAAATTACACTACTGCCCTTTGATTTCTATGTGACAGTCGATTTTGATACGTACTTCGGTCGATAGAATTTATAGTTTAAAGTTAATCAATTGATTAAATGTAGGTGCAGACTGCGGCCAACGTCACGCCATCTAGCGGCGGGATCAAGAACGGCGTCAGTGAGCCCGCCACCGCGGCCGGGGCCGGACTGGCGGCCGCCAAGCCGCCGGCGACCCGCGCCGCGCGCCCCCCACCCGCCGCCGCCGGTGAGTACGCGCTCGCGTTTCTCAATACAACCACGAAGTCGACAGAACTAGTTCTGTCTCTTTCCTTTGCCTTTGCATGCGCCGAGCGTGGAAGAGACGGAGTTTGCCTTTTGATTTCTAACCACAATTAACACTGCATTTATTTAATTAAGGAAAACGCTGTTTTACCATTTGGAAAAATATTTCCGATTGGGTTTGGTATTAATGAGTTTGGAATTAATTGTTTTTATTTTTTACGAATTTGCTATCTGGACATAATTATGTTAAAGACTAATGATTGATTAAATATTTTGTTACTCATGTAGGTACGAGTGTGTGTACATTCCAGATATTCAAAAATATTTAAAAAAAGAGCAGAACGGTTAACTGGTCATTGGGCTCATGGACATCATAGGGTGAATGAATGCTCTTGAGACGTTATTTCGGAGTTACAATTGCATTGGAATCACAATTATCGTTTTGAACCCTAGTGAGTGAACGATTCGCAGAATAGGCCCTATACGGGCGAGTTCACAGTCCATATTATGTTAAGTGTTCGTCTGCACCCATGGACATCACAAAATCAATGCCGCCACCGACCTTGAGGCATGATGGCGTAGTGTCGATAATAGCGCCTAATGTCCCACTCGTGCAGTTTAGAATGCGCCCCAAAGACAATTGTTTTTGTTTTTCAAATTTTGTTCATTTGATTTTTATTACCAGATGATATCTATCAAATAAATATTACCTAATAAACTTGGCATTGGCTGTTTGTTGAGTTTGAAAATACTCGCATTGTTCGATACCCCATCTATTAGGAGACGACTATTTTAAACTTTGACTCAAAAGATACATTAACACCGATCGTCCAGATTTTTACTAATTAAATTCTTAATGATTTTGTGCATAAAAATTGCCTAATCTAAGCTTGTATTATGATTCGCATGGACGTTTCGCTTTCTTTCTATTCCAGCACGGTGGCATGAGAAATTCTCATAAACTTCTTGCCTTCTAATTTAAATGTTGTTTGCATTGTTACTAATTTATTTAGAAACATTATTTGTTTAATCATTGTAATATTTAAGCACACAATACACAAAACATTTGGTTATGCAAATGAAGTACAAAGTTTAGAGTTAAGTCCTTCAGTGTGCAGCAGAACACTATACATTCTATATATTATTATATATATGCATAAATAATATTCTTTATAATAGAAAAATTATAAGCTTGCACTACATTGCCTTAACGTTAATAGAGATCTATCCCAGGCAACTGTACTTCGTACAAAATAAAAATAGAATTAGTATAACGGTTGATTGTGGTGTATCAATTTAACATAATTAGTCGGTTGATATCGGAGTAAAATGTTAATTAAATTGCAGAATAAATAAATAAATAATAATAAATAAATAATTACTAACAATCACGCCACGTTAACTGGTCCCGTGCTAAGTTCGTAAAGAACTTGTGTTACAGGTACCAGATAACGGATATAAATGTAAGATTTTTATTATACACATACATATATTTTAATATACATCCATAACCCTGGAAAAGACATTTATATTTATCATACAAATATCTTTCCTTGGCGGGATTCGAACCCGCGACCCCCTTGTGTAGTGACCATGTCACTTACCACTACACCAGACGGTCGTTAGAACATTACTTAATAAATATGAAGATATACATACATTACATTTATAGTATGTACATGCACTCGCATACATTTCTTTATGCATACTAATGAATATATATTAATTTAGCATACATACATATGTACAAATATAAAGCATGCCCGTATATAAAAACTAATTAACATTTAAATAATTTACTAATGCTCTAAAATCGTTTTAATTTGTATACTAATAGAAAATTATTTTAAATTATGATTAAATTGTATACGATATTCCTAAAAAGATTATTAATTATTACTGTTATACTGTAATATATATGTATTAGTGTTATAAAGTAGTACTGTTTAATATTTTTTACAAAAGTGCTACCTATCTCTTAGATTTTAGTCTTCCAACATCATTTCTTCAGAGATTTTAATACCGAATAATAGAAATAGTACTTACTATATCACTTTTATTCGATTTAAATAGTAAAGCTTTTAAAATTAATTTTTTCCGACTACCTTCAAATGACTTAAATTATTTTTTACTTATATTTGAGTTTTAAGCGCTTGTTTCATGATATCTAATATATATTCCACTAATGCGATACTAACCGTTGTGTGTACTTCTACCACTAACTACTGTGTTAACACCAAATATTTATTATTACACATTTAAAATCACATACCCGCTTATTTACGTGTCCCATATGACGTCCATCAAACTACAAAATCTGTTCGGAAGTGTTATTCTGAATAAATGAAAATATTACCCATACAAAATGATTGCTACTGACTTAAGTGATGATGCCTCAGAAGTCATGGAACATTGACCTTTATTGTGATTAGTCTTTAATTATTTATTTGGGAAACCAAATGTACAAAATAAGCATATAATATTTAAAAAAAACAGGCTAAAACAATAACCAAACATGTGTCCACCATCAAAATCATATATAAGTAGAAAGTGAACAAAGAAAAAAAAAGAGAAATTTAGAAATTTAAGTTTACACAAAAAAAAAACAAAAGCAATATAATTTTATTTATGTACATCAACTTACACTATTATACTTAATAATACATACTCATCGGACTTAAATCACCTTATATGTATTCCGAAATAGCTTTTCTATATGCTACAAGTGACAAACAAAAGATGTCAGCATTAGAGAACTTTGTGTCATACAACATACATGAATAAGGCACAAAATTGTTTGCTAACATGTTGCTTATCGTGTCCGACAAATAAAAGATGTCAGCATTAGAGAACTTTGTATCATAAAACCTACAAGAATAGGGCACAAAATCGTTTGCTAACATGTTGCTTATCGTGTCTAACCCCGGGGCTGCAGAGCCGGCTGCCAACATACCGGACGAGCAGCGCGCCCTCGCCTCGCTGCAGCAGAAGGCCATGGAGTCGTTTGTCAGACGGAACAGCTATGGGGACATATGTGAGTACATCATTTAGAACTCACATAGACATTAATTCCTTTTTGTTCCTTTTTTTTATTGCTTAGATTGGTGGACGAGCTCACAGCCCACCTGGTGTTAAGTGGTTACTGGAGCCCGTGGATATCTACAACGTAAATGCGCCATCCACCTTGAGATATAAGTTCTAAGGTCTCAGTATAGTTACAGTTGTTTAAAGAATAATAATTGTCTTATTTTTTTTTCATTTTTAAGGGATTTTATGATGTGGTAACTAAGACCTTTAAGTCATGTCTTATTTTAATTTATATTCTTAATTTTATGATGTAGTGAAATGAAATGAATATGATTAATTTTTCTATAATTTTTTTTTTTTTGTGTAGGTGAAAGGAAAGATCCATTGAACGCTTTACAAGTGAAGAATGGCGGTTCGAAACGCAATGCCCTACTGAAGTGGTGTCAACAGAAGACGTTCGGATACAACAATATCGATATCACGAATTTCAGGTGAGATTCAACATGTGACTCGGCGTGGGACTGCTCGTAGCGTAGTGCGCGCAATGTAACACAATCTTAACATAACCAATGCGCGGAGTCAATGACCTACTGAGTCTGAGGTCTGTGTGTGTTTGTATTAACGGACTAGAATTGATAACGTTATTAATTTTCATGCATTGTATTAAATTGAAAAATTTAATCTTACGTACAAATTTTACTGTAATTATGAATTAATATTTTGTCTCTTATGTTAAAGTACATAAGGAAATTCTTTTTATTGACCTTTAAGGCTCGGCCTGCGATCGTGAACAAATTCACAAGTGCCCCTGTTGCGAATTTATCATCTTCGATCCGATTATTCGATTATTCATCGTCAAAAAGTGTGTGACAACTTCTCGATTGCATTTACGTAGGGCTATCTCTCGAATAAAGTTGGGGGCAAAGTTTCAAATTAAACGTTCCACATTTAAAAATGTTTCAAACAAGACATGACGCGCTACTACCGTCTGATGATGATCGATGGTGATTGGTCAATAATAGCGGGAACGGAATTATTCGAACTTTGTGTTTTCCACTATCGTCACTAGATGGCGCTGTTTCAATGCACAGTTGACGCTCGAATACGTTCTTTTGTCGTACCTTCAGAGGCGACTTACACCCATTACATTTGTGTCTATTTCGTTTTGACTGCGCGTTTACTAGAGGGCGCTAGAGTCGTCAGCAACCACCGTTCTCTGTTTCCTCGGCTACGACTCTTTCGCGAAATGTTTAGTTCTATTAAATGATATTGATATTGCCCACTGAGTTTCTCGCCGGATCTTCCAGTGGGTCGCGTTTCCGATCCGGTGGTAGATTTGCGAATTCCTGTTGCTAGGGTCAGTGCTAGCATCACTCCGGTTTGAGCCCCGTGAGCTCACCTACTAGTTAAGGTTACGCTGAAATAACCTCTCAAGGCTATCAGCTTAGGTAGGAAAAAGAAAAAAAAAGCAGAAGATATTGATAATTCGGTGTCGTGCCCCGCACAGCTCGTCGTGGAACGATGGCCTGGCGTTGTGCGCGCTGCTGCACTCGTACCTGGGCGAGGGCCGCGTGCCGTACTCCACGCTGTCGCCGCACGACAAGAGGACCAACTTCTCAGTGGCCTTCGCGGCCGCGGAGTCCGTGGGCATCCCGACCACGCTGGTACGTACACGGTGTATTCGGATTTATTTTGCTTCTCATCAAGACTCAAAGAGAAATGACCAATTTTCAATCCTAGATTAAAGAATGTTTAGAACTTATTTCAGTTGAAACAAGACTCAAAGAAAAATGACCAATTTTCAATCTCAGATTAAGGAATGCTTAGAATTTATAGTCGGATTTTTAATTAGACGAAGCAAGCTGACAGTAGCTAATGTCACTTTGTGAAATAATGTTGCTATATTTAAAGAATAGTGATGCGTTCAGTTCTCGTTCAATCACATGAATGAACAATGAGTCTGAAGAGTTAATCACTAATTTCAAACTATAAAAGAATATTATTTATATTTTACAATAAAATTGTATTAAAGTGCTCCAATATATGTTACCAGTGGTATGTAACTACAATCAGCCTTTTTTTATTTTCATTACCTACCTATAATTGTTATATTTTATACATCTATAGTTTCAACTATATGATGTATTGGAAACAGGACCGTCTTACAAGCTTCCTCGCAATGTTTTTCTTAATGTTTAAAACACTCGGTGTTCAGTACAGATAGATACTATAGGAACATAATATTTCGTCGAAAACTCGTTGGTATGTACAAAGCACACCTAAAATTCGAACCCCGTACCCGATACCGGCAATTCGGCACACCAACTATTCACTAGACAATCGAGGCAATTTCATGAATTCAGGAGTTTTTTTCAATCGTTCACTTTGTCACAACACTATTTTTATTTCATCAAAAGCTGACAACACAGTAAACGTCAGTTGACTTCGTTTAATAAAAAATCCGACTATAGTTCAGTTAAAACAAGACCCAAAGAAAAATGTCTAATTTTCAATCTTAGATTAAAGAATGCTTAGAATTTAGTTCAATTAAAAGAAGGCACAAAGACAAAATATGTATTGCCGATCTAGATGAAAGAATGCTTCAAATTTAGTTTAGTTAAACATGGATAAACAAAGAACAAAGTCTAAGCAAATATAAGTAAAATCAACAAAGCGCTTCAAAGGGTTAATGTATGTTTCAGTATTTTAGGTCTCTTACAAATAGATTAATTCTCAGTATGTACGGATTCGTCTTTCCCAAAGTCTACTATATATCCCGGCGCTTAGTAACAGAAATTGTCTTAATTACTTCAGTGCGTCACGTAGGGTACCTGTGACCAACATAGCAATCAAAGGGTTAAACCTTATAAGTAGTTTTAATCTACGACTCCCAAAAAGCCGACGAAAATTTGTCAAGTACATTTTCTTTATTTGACAGAATATTCAGGACATGATCCACCAACATCACATGATGATGATGATGATGTTTTTTTTTTATTGCTTAGATGGTTGGACGAGCTCACAGTCCACCTGGCGTTAAGTGGTTACTGGAGCCCATAGACATCTACAACGTAAATGCGCCACGCACCTTGAGATATAAGTTCTAAGATCTCAGTATAGTTAGAGGATAACATTTTCTTTCTTTCACAGAATATTCAGGACATGATCCACCAGGAGCGTCCCGATTGGCAGCAGGTCATGGCGTACGTCACCAGTATTTATAAACATTTCGAGACTTAAAACGTTTTTCATTCAAATACGTGTGGATAATGTTGGGATGCATTGATCACGCTCTCAATCGATGCGTTTATACGCTTTCGCATAGAACAGTTGATGTTTCGACGTCACACTGGACGGTGTTATACGTTAACGGACCAAGAATATTAAAGAAAAGCCTTTTTTTATATCATCGTTCTTTTGTGTAAGCGAATGGTTCTGATTTAAAACGTAAATTTCCAAAAAATAATTATCGAATCGGTACTTACGGTAATTTTGTACCAATAAAATACAGTTAAAAGCCAATTTATCACGATTTAATTCCACATAAGGACCAAAATATTATTAATTAAGTATATTATTGTATGATATTATGTATTTGACCACGAGAACCGCTCTTCCGCACTTCTAACGACACTTATTGTAGTATTTACCAAGGCTATTCAGGATTACTGGGGAACATCGTCGTAAAGTGATTTGAGGTGTGTCCGCAGTGACTTGAATAAATTTTTGTTGCACTAATGAATAAAGAGTTTGGCAATTAGCCGAACCAAACGAAAGTGCTGATCGAAAATTCTCCCTGAAATACAGATGGCAGCACCAGTCTCTCTGGTCTACTCGTGGTCTATTATAGCATGCTAAATGATGTGATTTATATAATTGAAAGACAATATTTATGCCTATATATAAATATAAAAATATATTCTAAATTATCGCTTATAATAAATATATATTAACTTGTCATTAACGTTATCGCCGGTATATGATAATTAATGTAATTTAAAATTGTAATCTGAATTGTGCTTTACGTGATAACGCCAAATATAGCTAGCTGCTTGATAAAATTATATTAAACATCAATTGAATCTAGTAATTAATTATGAATATTATTAAAGTAATATTCGAAAATATATTTTAATATGGATAAAGAGAATTGACTTCGATTATTTTGTGATCACAAATTAAGTAAAAATTTATTACCTTATACAGTTTTGCGTTAATTTTTCATCATAACAAAGCTTATGCGATAATTTTTAGTAGCTGTCCGTACGCCATGCAGGCTTTTGTCGCTTCTATACTGATATTATGAATGTGAAAGTTTATAAGTCTGTTTATTAACCAATGGCCAATTCGGATATTAATCTTTCCAAAAAGTTGCTTTGCGACCTGGATTAATGCGTGTGAAACACTGTTTATCGCGGTTAATGACTTGACCCGGGCAAAGCCGGGTATATCTGTTGTAATTAATGCGAGAGGGTGTTCATTAGCTCGCAGCAATTTTGTAACTCTTTATCCCGGGAAAATGCGACGTGTTTCATTCTTGAAAAATTAAAAGATGCCCACTGAGTTTTGTCCCCGGATCTCAGTGGGTCGCGATTCCGATCTGTAGGTAGATTCTGCGAAGCACGGCTCTTGCTTGTGTTAAGAAATTCTCTCAGGTTGCGCCCATGAGCTCACCTACCAGTCACAGCCTAGTTGGTATAGCCCCTTAGACTACTAACGAATAAGTAGGGGAAAAAATAATAAAAAAATTAATAGGTACGATGCGCTTGTTTTTAGTTTACGTGATAAAAACTGTCTGTACCACGGGAGCCGCATTATAATCCTTTATCCTTTCTGATTATCCTTTAAAATAATTCAGTGTTAGGAGCTCAGTGTGCTTAGTGCGAGTTTTTTAACGTTCTCGATAGCGTAAAAGTTAACTCATATTTGTATGGAATAGGATCGTTTGCGTACGTTTGCCGCTAGGGGCGCTGTTCCGACTGCATACAAAATTGGCTTAACTTTTACGCTATCGAGAACGTTAAGAAAATCGCACTAAGCACACTGTTCGCAAGTGAGTTAATGGAGATAATAGAGCGGACTGTTTAAAAAAAAATACATACATTAATCTTCAAGTAATGCCTTAAAATACGTATTATAGGTACGAATGAATTGTCTTTTGCCTTGGACGTGATCTATTGATGGAAATCGTCTGATCAACAAAGACTGATGCGTGTAGGTTGTAAGAACGGTTGATATGATAAGGGTGTAATTTTTTTTTTTTTTTCAAAATTTGTTACTCTATTTTGGTGGTGTGTTGTGAGATTTCCGAAATAAATTATCCAAAAAAATTACGATAAATATAGCGATGAATTAAAATAAAAAAGAAAATATTTTTTTTATTGTTGTTTCCGAGTGTCCCGGATAGAAGTTGCCAAAAAAGGAAGGCTGCTCCCGAAGTTGAAACTTTATTGCCTTTAATATAAGCGGCATTTTTAAACAATTCATGATTTGTTTTAGGATTTTTTACACACTGACGCTCAATGTTCAACATATTGATATAATTATTTACGCTAAACAGATATGAGGAGAATAAAGACAAATCTAGTTTTTGAAAAACGTAATTATTCGAATTCTTGAGAAGTTTTACGTTATAGCTTGTCTTAGCGATTTAAATCGATTATTTCAATAAGTCTTTCCCTAACTGTGATCACTTAAAATGATATTCTAAAACCTTTAAGAATTCGAAATATTTGAAATTAAGTGTTCAACTTGTAGATATTAGTTGGATATCTAACGTAAACTTCTTGTCTTGAGAAAAATGTGTCAGTTAGTGAAACAGCAGTGTATACGCTCAACAGTCGATGCCGTTGCCTAATACATACATTACTGGCCAATAAAGCGGTTAATTACTCAAACTATACTCGGATTATGAAATGACTAATAATGATATTTGATTATTTTATTTCCTCGAATGGAGGCCACGGATGGGTACAAGGAGCGTGGGGCGTCCTTCAACCAGGTGGACTGACGACTTAGTGCGCACGGCGGGAAGTCGTTGGATGCGGAAGGCGGAGGACCGCATTATGTGGAAGGCATTGGGGAAGGCCTATGTCCAGTAGTGGGCAGATAAAGGTTGATGATGACGATTATTATTATTTTAGATTTTACAATACATTAGTTTAAATTTTAAGAACTGACAGTCTTAAAATCATTTTCGCAAAATTTCCGTCATAAAACTCATTTAATAGTTAATGCACCTCTATACGTACCAATGTTATTGTGTGTGAAATATAGAGAAAATCATCAATCGCCTGTCGAGTCTAGCTTTACGTATTCAGTCAGGTTGAAAATACATATATGAGTCTATATGAAAATAGTAAGTTTTGTGGTTCTTAAAAATTGAACATAATATATCGAAGGGTGATATTTGGCTTAAGGGTAATATTTTGCAATATTACAGGGGAGACATTTAAAGTTTTATAATTTGAAAAACAAAACATCATAACAAAATTAAAACACTCCTTCAGTTATTTGAATGGGGTAAACTTAATTGAAGGTTAATTAAAAAAAATAAAATTGTTGATTGTAATACCAAATAAAAGGGACCTTTAATTACGAAAAAAATGTCGCTTAAACCATATATATCTAGAAAGTAAATTACATATTTACATACATTGATTGACACTCAATATAATATGCTATAATATTGATTCAAATATGCGATAATGACATTCGGAGGAAATTACATGAAGTCAATAAAATTATAACTATTGGGATGATGACCGTCAATCTAAATATACATTTTTCAATAAAGAATACTAGTTTTCACGGAAAAATCCGTTTGTTTTAAAAATGATAGACTGTGTTTTAATATTAAAAAAAATATACCCAGATAACGCTGTTGAATAAATGACTTAGGCAAACTAAGCCAGCCTTAATATTGAACGAAATTAGTATCTACGTAATTGTCTCGTAAGGTTTAGAATTAGTAAAGCAATTAAAACTGTCGGAGGACTTCCATATTATTGTACGAAAACAAGGAAAGTAGACATCTCTGTGATAAAACATTTACGACTGTGAGTGAATAAAACTCACCCTGTATTTTGAATAAAACAGGACAAAAAATATTGCTATCGCTTTCCCTCCGAGCGAATTCCCGTATCAGTAAAATTAAATAGCACCTGCATCCGTTTTACCACTGATACTCGAATTTAAATTCATTCTCGACGTTCGTATGATAACAAATTTAGAATAGTTGCCAAGCGATTTCAAACTTTAATGAAAAGCGCGTATTTGAAATTTGGAATTGAATATTTAGATATTTTAAGAATCGTCTGCGATTTATATTCGTCCAAATCACCTCGAAGTAATCTCATTACTATAAAATTAAATGTGTGAGCATGCTTTAGTGTACATTGTATGGAGCTTGATTATCAAACGTCAACCTTAAAACTTTTAGACACGGCAATTAAAAAAATATTTATTAAAATTAAACATAAATTACTCATGAGAGCTCTGTTTGAATCATATACCAATAATATAATAATATTCTCATTACAGTCTTCATTAGATAAGTTAATAACAAATTAAATCACATAATAATAGTCAGCAAAGATGAAAATTGTTTATTGACTTGTAATGAAACTTATAAATATCATCATCATATATAATCCTTTAATCTATGCATTTAAATGTATGATTAACGAATTAATTGCATTAATTAATAAGAAATGTGAAATATTCGTAACGCATTTTCATTTATTAATTAAAGACTGCATGAATGTGTTACAAAAATATATACATATATATATATATATATATATAAACGTATATTTGCTACAAAATGAATTAAGTTGGTTTTTAATCAATACATTTTTTTATTTGAATGAATTTTAATTAAAAAAAACATATTAATGTATAAGCGCGTGCGTTTTGTGAAATTTTAATTGGATTTTTATTGAAATTGTAAACAATTTTTATATACATATATATTTTCATTGTTTATATTAATTGTATTGTAGAATGATTTGTTTGATAAGATTATTATGTGTATGTCAAATTTTGAGTGAGCGCTAATAATTTCCAATTTGGTTGTTGATACTGCTGGAATATATGTAATAATATTATGATTGTATCTATTTTGAGATGTTAGTGTTTTTTTGTAAATATAGCCTAAATAAAGTTCCTGATTTATTATATGAAGTTGTTTTATTTGGTTTAGAAAGATTGTTGTGAAGTCTCTGAGGAATCAATCATCATCATCATTATCCTGCCCTTCTTCCAGTTACCTAGGGTCGGCGCAACATGTTTTCTCCTTCCATACTCTTCTATCATATACCATTTCTTCGCTCACTCTCCCTTACCATATCGTCTTTCACGCAATCCATCCATTTCTTCTTAGGTCTACCTCTTCCTCTATATCCTTTTACATTCATAGCTAACATTTAGTTACCAACCTCATTTTCATCTCGTCTCATCACATGTCCATACCATCCCAAACTCTGTGGAATCAAATAGTTATAATTTTATTCCTTATATTAGATAAACGAGCTTACCGTTCACCTGGAGTCTATTGGTTATAGGAGTCCATAGACATCAACAAGGTTAATGCCGACTCCATCTTGAGTTCTAAGTCTCAGTTTTAGAGTACAACGGTTTCTCCACCCTTTAAACAGAAACGCATTACTGCTTCACGGCAGAAACAGGCAGGATGGTGGTACCTACCCGTGCGGACTCACAAGACGTCCTACCACCATTATGAAAGGCGACCTTAGTTCATTCTTAAGCAAAGCCCGTGTTTTTATTTACGTAATTGTCATCAATGTGAATTGCATTGAATACAAGTTAATGTGAATTGCATTGAATACAAGTTAATGTGAATTGCATTGAATACAAGTTAATGTGAGGTCGAAAACAATTTTATAATGATTTCCATCCTTAAGTTTTAAGTGACGGAGAATCCAGATATCTATCGTCTTTTCGCATTAAGTGTACAACTTCTAAAAATATTCGAAATTGGGTTAGTATGCGGAAACATTTGGTATCACCAGTATTTTTCTCATAAATACTGTCAAAAGAGCGTACTTAATTTTTTTAGTTTTTTTTACTTTACCTATGTTTTGACTACTGTATTAACAAAATTATGTATTAATTTTGTTTTACTTTAAAAGACAGATAAATATGTCGGCGCAAATATGACTATTTACCTACTGATCATCAACTAATTACTCTGTGATAAGAAATTAATGTTAAACAGTCCCTTTTATTGTAATTTCAATACTTTAAAATCTTGTAAACACGCTCACGTGTTTAATACTTGTAAACACGCTGACGTGTACGAAGTCCTATAAATACGGCCGTGCTGTCTAGCGTTGATTCATTCGTGTCCGAGCCGTAGTACAGGACGGATCTCTCTGTAACGTTGTTATGCTTCTCGTGCAATATACGCAGTTCTCGTGAAGTTTTGTTTTGGAAGCCCAAATATGAGTCATCATCGAGAACTTAAAGACCGTGACGTCAACAATGCTGACGTCACACTTTTTAAAAACATTCCTTCAGCGTTTCTCCTCCGTCANGTACTTTATGGTAGGCAGCGGCTTAGCTCTGCCCCTGGCATTGCTGACGTCCATGAGCGACGGTGACCACTTACCATCAGGTGGGCCGTATGCTCGTCTGCCTACAAAGGCAATAAAAAAAAAAAAAAAAAAAAAAAACAAATTTCGCCAAGACTACATACGCTTTAGACCAGTGATTCTGAACCTTTTTTTTGTTGAAAATCGTTAAATATTTAACGATTTCAAAATTTGGCGGCACACAAAGAAAAAGATAAAAATTATTTACTTACTACCGAATCACATACATTTGCCAATTTTAACGAAAGAAAAGGTGCAGTAACTACTATGCAACACCTTGTGAATCCCAACTATCACTAAAACAACACGTTTTGTACGCAGAAGTGGTAAGCGTGCGCCGACTTGAGACATATTCCTATTGCTATGCACGCCGCTTCATCATAATTTGGCACTAAGAAAAAACGCGTTGCAAAGCAAATAATAAAATATTTTTTTTTTTTGTGCATTTCAATATATATTCATGTTAAAAATATTTTTCTTTTTAAATGATATAATTTAATAATATTAACATTATTATATATTTGCAAAATTTGGCGGCACACAAAAGTGCCGCGGCACAGTGGTTGAGAATCACTGCTTTAGACAAATATTAATAAAGCCAAACAGTATTAACCTATTCTCAATTAGACTACAGACTTTAAGCAATAACAAAAGTTTGTCAGTAAACAAAGAGTATAAATTATTTAAGTGTGTGTCTCAAATATGTGGTAGTTTGTGTAATGCTTTTATTATTGATTAATGTATTATTAATGCATAATTTTTAAAAAATAATAGGATTCTGCACTCCTTCTCTAGATTCTCTATAAGTGTGGGAAGTTTCATACTCCTCCGTCCGCGCAATTTCCGTAAAAGGGGGTACAAAGTTTTTGCTTCACGTATTAATATATCGACGCTTGAAAGGCAAACGTGACTAAGCGACAATAACTGCTTTGTACATAAATGATAGGCAATAACCATATTCGATGCGCAAAAAATATATATTTCTAGGTCTATTAAAATGATTTCAATCCTACAGCTACTAGCTAGATGCTACTACTAGATTAGATAGCTAGATTTGTTAAAATAAATTTTGTTTTCAGGTATTTCAACTTTAAATTAGTCTACTGTAAAGTTCACGCATTGTCGCTTAGTCACGTTTGCCTTTCAAGCGTCGATATAGATATGTCCTTAACACTCAGGTTTTGTTATTGAAAATTCCTTATCATATTTCTAATCGTTTTATGGAGGCCAGTTTCACCACTCAAGTACACCCGGGATGTATTTATCGATGAGTTTCTCGTAGTAAGGCCAAAGCGCTTCAATGTCCGGGACCCCAGCGCTTTTCGTATACAAGTCGTATTTGCTGTAAAATTAACCAATAATATTATAAGCTAATAACATTATCACTGTCGGATGACGTCTGAATATACAATAATTGAGGTGAACAAAATAAAAATACACTATTATTTCTGGTTTACGAATTTTTATATATAATAAAAATTCGAAGATTACTAACTCTTGTGAGTCCGCGCGGGTAGGTACCACCGCCCTGCCTATTTCTGCCGTGAAGCATTTATGCGTTTCGGTTTGAAGGGTGGGGCAGCCGTTGTAACTATACTAAGACCTTAGAACTTATATCTCAAGGTGGGTGGCGCATTTACGTTGTAGTTTTCTATGGGCTCCAGTAACCACTTAACACCAGGTGGGCTGTGACCTCGTCCACCCATCTAAGCAACAACAAAAAAATTATATTATTGCTTTACATGTATTTTCAATTATTAGTAAACGAGCAAGTGGCTTAAGGTGAGCCGCATATTGTATGCGTCTGACCGATATACATCCGAAATATGGCGGATGGCACTTTGTAGCAATCAACACAGAATCTTGGAGCCATTACGGTTCGTTCTTCCTTTTTTACGCTCGTTTTAGAGAGAGACAGAGAATATCATTGCATGAAATGTTTAATTTACGCATTTTTATTGCCGTAGATGAGCTAGAGCTCACAGGCCATAGGCCTTTGAGAACATCATGAATTTCGTCACCCACCTTGCCACATAAGAGTGTAATAAGTTAGGTGTACTCTATAATAATTTAATAGTACAATTACGCATTACTGCTTTGTAGTAGAAATAGGATGGCGGTACCTACTTGATATTATGGACGACCGAAAAACAATAACCGTCAGGTTCGGGAAGGCCGAAGTCAAATCTTATGGTTAATAAGGGAAGGAACTGTTACATTCACTCACTTGAACTCAAGTACAGCCTCCAAGATATCGTTATCGCTTTCCACGAGAAGATGTTTGTAATCGCCACCAGCATGCCACGGGTAGAAGGAGTGGTACCTACGATATGGTAAAAAGGAAATATTTCATGAGTCGTAATAAAATTTTGAGTTCATATTTAAAATAATAAAATTGGACATAAAATATGACGAACCTAAACTAGGATTCCCTGTACTATGGGAGGGAAAAAGAGAGTGATATATATTAAGATTTTAAACACCCAAACCTTTTAAACATCACACAGATTTTAAATATCAATAAAATGTGTGTGGGTCAAACCAATAAAAACATAGTAAGTAAATAAGTTTTTAATATGTGTTTGAAAATAAACAAAGTTCAAAATACAACTTCTTCTTTGTATTTCCATCCGATTGTGTTTTAGTTCATGAGATAGTCAGTTTATCACACAAATTGCAGCCGAAAAGGCATACGTAGGTGTTGTAAATAATATGTTTCTCGAAATTTCTTACTGCTCCAGAGACAGGCGTCCGACCTGGTTTTATTCACAGACCACAACTCGAATACCGTAAAACATTTATAGACGTACAATTGACGTCCTAATTGCATTAGAACAATATTTGTATTTCACATCTGAATTCGTTTATTATTAAGTCATGTCAGAAATAAACAGGACCAATCAAATATGTCTTACAGTTTTTTTTTTCCTACCTAAGCTTGAGAGTTAGCTTGAGAGGCTATGTCAGCGTAACCTTAACTAGTAGGTGAGCTCACTGGACTCAAACCAGGAGGCGTTACTAACACTAGCCCTTCACAGAATCTACCACCGTGGGCTGTGTCTATGGATTAGTTTACTCGCCGAACCCTTAGCCGCAAGCGAGTTTCAGTTCTGTGTCACCACTTTTTTAAGTTCTGTGACTTAATTTTTCTAATTTTTTTGTATCTTCATGACAGGTGTTCTACATCCACCTTCAAGTTGGGAATCTTGAGGACTTGACTGTCTTCTCTGATTATGCGTTCATACCATTCTGACTTCGTGTCAGCTTATTGCGTAAATGATTCTCAAACGTAGCTATTTAGACTATGCAGTGATGTTACCCGCCCGCTCTCAGTAGAAGGCAGAGAATACAAAGTCATATTCCATTCCATACAAAGGTGTATTATATAAATCATTGATAACCTCACCTGACCATGTACAGCGCTTTCTTGGGAAACTTGGACTTGTTATGTACAAGAACTCGGTACAGGTACTCGTCGTGGCCCCAGGACATCATTAAGTTCTCTAGACCACACTTCGGTTTGTACATGCCGTGTTCAGTACTAAAAACATTAATTCATACAGTTAATTTTTTTTTAGTCAACTGTTGAAAACAAATTTATTTCAAAAAAAAAGATTTTATTGTAAAAAAAGCGTGGCGTGCATGGTATCAGTAGTTATAAATATTTTATTAACAGATATGAGTAGAAGGGTTATTTTGATAAGCACCCCACGATTGCTTACAATAAAATATTTTTTTCTTACACTATTGTTAATTCAAATTTATTAAAATGTATTTTCTATTTTTTAGTTGGATTTTCTATAAAAGCGTATTTTGTTAGTTTTTTTAAACTATTATTAATTTTTCATTTTTAGTTGTATTTCAATATATTTTTTTAATATTGAATTGTCATTAATAAGTATACCAAATTTCGAGTTAATCCGACGTTTTGAAGGTCAAAATCATCTTCAAAGATTCCGTTACAAACATACATACGCCTGAAGCTAATAAAAGCGTATTAAAATGCTTACTAATTCTTTTATTAGTGAATGTATGAACGAGCAAGAAGACGGAAGTCATTATTGCTTAGCGGCAGAATGAAGAAAGATGAGAGAATTGCACGGCACTGAATAAAATGTGAACACGACCATATTATGGTCTAATGTCAGTCGACTCACTTGTATTTAGGATTGTACGTGTCCGGATTACGTTGGAAGCTGTCGTCTTCGTACACAATAGATTTACCCCACTTACAGCCAACCGGAAAGGTATCACCCACCACGCACCACTGTGGTTCATCGTAGAATGCCATAACCTCAAAATAACAATAGAAATTGGAATATATTTTTTATTATCTTTGTAGGCAGAGCATACGGCCTGATGGTAAGTGGTAACCGTCGCTCACGGACATCAGCAATACCAGGGGCACAGCCAAGTAGCTGCCTACCATCAGCTCAAATCAAAATTACGACGTAATTCCTACCTACCTTTCCGAGATCATGCATCAGTCCAATAAGTTGGAACCAATCTTCATCGGGGTGTTCCTCCCTGATCCTCTCAGCGGTCTGGAAGGCGTGCACGATGTTTGGGAGATCCGTATCGGGGTCTGACTCGTCCACTAAGTCATTGAGCTTGATGAGAGCATCCTTAACAGTGGCTTTGAAGTGATTAAACTTCAACCACTTTTCCATTTTACCTAAAATAATAATTTCATTGAGCATTCTCGAGAAGTTGCACCCATTTTAATTAAACGCGCCAAAACCTTCACGTACAAGTCTTATTAGGTTTGCGAAATTGAGTATACTAGATTTGGTATTAATAAATAAACAATGGATTATTTTATCATTTTGTGCGTGTTTTTAATATATAGTTACGTTTTCTAACCCGATCCACTTTCCTGGACGTTTTTTAATTTGATCTTGATCCCATCGCTACCAGACTTCATAGAATGCTATCCTATCTATCTGAGGATTTTATGCAAAATTTAGCGAATCGGTCCAGCCGTTTCGGTGGCTATAGGGAATTCACACACACATCAATGTTGTATGCATATGCTATATACGAGGTACGAAAAACATTTCTAGCGTTAAACAACATGGTACTTGTTTTTTTTTTATTTTAAGCTTATTTATTAAGGGTGTTTAAATGTAAATTTTCAATTGTTTGATACTTGATCACATGCTTACAGAGTAATTTGTGGGTATTTTGTTAGGGACGTATTTGACAGTATGGACGAAATTAAATGTTGTAAGTTTAATGTCTGATTATGAAATAAACATCTTTAATTGGTATCTGTTAATTAAATGTTTCAATTGTCAGGCTTAATTATCAATCTACAACCATAATGATTGTTATCAAGTCATTGAAGTTAACACAATCAAACTAGCAGTTACATATTAACGAGGGTAGATAAGGTTTTCAAACACTATGATAGAAAACAGCGATCGTAAATTCGACTCGAACGCTAATCATTATTTATGAATCATTGTTTATACAATCAAAATTTAAATTAAATATTTCATTACGATGAGCTGATAAGAATAGTGTCATCGTGGCTTAAAGGATAAGACGCCCGGTGCGGTCGTGTCGACCGACGCGACTGCGCCGGTGTTCGAATCCCGCAGGCGGGTACCAATTTTTGTAATGAAATACGTAATTAACAAATATTCACGATTGACTTCCACGGTGAAGGAACAATATCGTGTGATAAAAATCGAACCCGCAAAAATAATAATTTGTATAATTACTAGAGGTACGATGTCTTGTGTGTCCGCAGGGGTAAGTACCACCACCCTGCCCATTTCTGCCGTGAAGCAGTAATGCGTTTCGGTTTGAAGGGTTGAGCTGTCGTTGTTGTGTAAAACTGAGACTTATGACGACTATGAAGTCGTCGTGGCCTAACGGATAAGACGTCCGGTGCATTTGTGTTGAGCGATGCAGCGGTGTTCGAATCTCAGGCGGGTACCAATTTTTCTAATGAAATATGTACTCAACAAATGTTTACGATTGATTTCCACAGTGAAGGAATAACATGGTGTAATAAAAATGAAACCCGAAAAAGTATAATTTGCGTAATTACTGGTGATAGGACCTCCTGTGAGTCTGCGCGGGTAGGTACCACCGCCCTGCCTATTTCTGCCGTGAAGCAGTAATGCGTTTCGTTTTGAAAGGTGGAGCTGTCGTATATCTCAGGGTGGGTGGCGGCATTTACGTTGTTGATATTTACGGGCTTCGGTAAACACTTAACACTAGGTTAGTCGTAAGCTCACCCATCCGATTGAGCAATAAAAAAAATCTGTTTTAATAGAAGCCAATTCAATTCGATTACAAAAAAATTTAGCCTTCAAGTGAGAACGCTTGAATGCTTTGTAGACGACGGTACGTACCTAGTCGTGTAAATAGAAAACGTCATCACAAAGATTAGTAATGAATTTTTGTAAATGTTTTGCATATCGATTATAATTAAAGACACAATATTTTCGATTAACTTAATAATAGAGATTAGAGGTCCCGCAGTAGTCGAAATTCGACTATAATTAATTGGAATTGTAAGTTTGTACACTATTATTTTATTTTATACTTCTATAATCACAAATTTCGCCAAGACTACACTATAAAAAATATTAACAAAGACAAACCATATTCTATTCTCAATTTGACAACAGACGTCAAGAACAAAAGTTTGACAATAAATAGTATGCATGCGTGTGTGCGTCAAATACATGGTATGTAGTGTGTGTAATGTTTTCTTTATTGATTTAAAGTATCTTTTATGCATTAATTTAAAAAAATATTAGCATTGTGCACTTTTTCTCTATATTCTCTATAAGTGTGGAAACTTTCATACTCCTCCGTCCGCGCAATTTACGTAAAAAGGGATACAGTTTTTGCTTCACGTATTAATATATATGTCGTCACACGTCAGGGATGGCTGAGCGGTAGGTTCCGTCATCACTCGTATTTGATTGAACACAGTTTATAAAAAGTCAATAAAACCTTTTGAATAATAATTATTGAAACTCAACACACACAACTTTCACAATGACAGGGTAAACCGACAGTTTCGTTGCATATACCGACAGACCGACTGACCGACTGACTGACTGACAGAGACTCACTGACTGAGACGGACGGAATTACTGTCTGACACGGAATGCCACGACTCTGTCCACGTACCGCCATTTTATACTGTGGCGTTACGNGGTTAGTTGCCCTCAATTAAGAAAAATAGTATTATTATTCGCCAATAGATGTCGGGAAGAGTTGATTATTGAAAACACGAATAAAACAACATTTTCTGAAAATAAATCGTAGCTAGATCGATTTATCGCCCCCGAAATCCCCTGTATACTAAATTTTATGAAAATCGTTGGAGCCGTTTCCGAGATTCAGATTATATACATATATATTCATATACAAGAATTGCTCGTTTAACGGTATAAGATAAGATTAGTATAGCTATCACAACCCTTCTTAAAATTAGCTTACAGTAAATTATAATTAAAATTAATAGTTGAACAATTACGTCTTCCAAATTCCTGTGCTCTCTCCTTGACTTATTTCTTAACACGTAAACATAAATTACATATTCACATTTAAGCGTTCCAAATATGATTTTTCGGTAGAATCCAAAATGAGTTTCAAGTAATTTCAACAACTAGTGGTCTCCCGTTAGTCGAAATTCGCCTATAATTAATTAATATTATAAGTTTGTACACTATTAAGATTCTATTGTCAAAGACTATTTATACTTCTTAAATCACAACATACATGTATCATAAACATCCAACTTCTTAAGTATCTTGAGGATCGCCAGCTGATCAGTGACCGGCAGTACGGTTTCCGTCATGGTCGCTCAGCTGGCGATCTTCTTGTATACCTCACACATAAATGGGCTGAAGCCTTGGAAAGCAAGGGCGAGGCTCTCGCTGTGAGCCTTGATATCGCGAAGGCCTTCGACAGGGTCTGGCATAGGNAAGATCTATATTTTTTTCTGTACTCCATCGTTGGTTTGCCATTTTCAACGCTTGAAGCGCGTCCGAACTAACAATACACACGTCCGCACAGCGCAGGCCCTTTCGCGACATTAGTTTCACGTCGCGTCTACACTATGAAATTAGTTGCATGACACTAATTTCACCAAAAAATCGCGCAGGGCACGAAACTAATTTGCATGCATGAAAGTAATGCATGCATTACGAAAGTATTAAATTACACGTGAAACTGTTGGTAAAACTAATGTCACGAAATTAAATTCACGCCACTAATTTCGTAATGTAAATTCGGCTTAACGGATAAGACGTCCGGTGCATTTGTGTTGAGCGATGCACCGGTGTTCGAATCTCAGGCGGGTACCAATTTTTCTAATGAAATACGTACTTAACAAATGTTCACGATTGATTTCCACAGTGAAGGAATAACATGGTGTAATAAAAATGAAACCCGAAAAATTATAATTTGCGTAATTACTGGTGATAGGACCTCCTGTGAGTTTACGCGGGTAGGTACCACCGCCCTGCCTATTTCTGCCGTGAAGCAGTAATGCGTTTCGTTTTGAAAGGTGGAGCAGTCGTATATCTCAAGGTGGGTGGCGGCATTTACGTTGCTGATGTTGACGGGCTTCGGTAAACACTTAACACTAGGTTAGTCGTAAGTCGTAAGCTCACCCATCCGATTGAGCAATAAAAAAAAATCTGTTTTAATAGAAGCCAATTCAATTCGATTACAAAAAAGGTCTAGCCTTCAAGCCAGAACGCTTGAATGCTTCGTAGAGGATGGTACGTACTTACCTAGTCGTGTAAATAGAAAACGTCATCACAAAGATAAGCTATGAAATTTTGTAAATGTCGATTATTAAAGACACGATATTTTCGATTAACTTAATAAAAGAGATGTTATATAAATTTCAATAGTGTGACATATTAAAAGCCTTTCTTTTAAATAACGCTTGCTGTATTTGAACTATGATGGAACTATGTCATAGCTACAACGTTCTAATCCCCTTTTGTAATGTAGGTAATAAAAAAAAGTGCTGATAAAGATAAAGAGCCTTTATTAACAACCTTAATTCGTCTTTAGGTATATACTATTAATGTAATTTTTCTACACATTTGATACCGGCAAAGATTGTTTTGTTTTCGGATATGCCTCCCCCAAATCCTGCCATAAGTCCCGGTCGTAGCATTTTCTCTTCCACGTAAAGCCTGCAATGGCCTCTATATCATCTACCCAACTTTGGAACGGTCGTCTTTTTAGTATTTTCTTGTGCTGATAAAACGGGATTTCAAATATAACTAATAACTAACGATTATTTACTTTCGCTTTTTTATTCGAGAGTAAAATAATCCGGCGCGGCTGTTACTGTGCACATATCTGTCTTCAAAAATAATAACCTAAAAACTCTCCTAAGTACATACATAGATACGATTATACGAAGTCTGTGGCGAATCCGCGCATTTTGTTTTTCTACCTAATCATATTTTTCCTCTACTTATTCGCTGGTAACCTAAGTGGCTATTCCAGTTACGACCGGACGGTTAAGTGAGCTCACGGGCTCAACCTGAGAGAGTTTGCTAACGCTAGCCCTAGCAAGTGCTTCGCAGAATCTACCATCGGGCCGGAATCGCGATCCACTGAGATCTGGCGAAAAATTCGGTAGGATTTGTCTATGGGTTAGTTCGCACGTCCAACTAATCGACGAGTTCAACGAGGATGTGAATTTGCGTTATCCGTACCTTTACTATCGTATTGCGGCAAAATCTAATAGTTCTGGCGCACACCCGAATATTTTGTACCCTCGTTTTCAACACAACACAACAACAACAACTACACAATGATACCACGAAACATAGAAGATTATTGTCTCTAATATAATCCTCGACTCAGGTATGTATAATAATCGACACAAGTCTTGAGCTCTGACCTTGAATTCCCAGAAGTCAATTTTTGGGTCTGTTTCAGGGGATTAGGGGGTCAGGGAGTGAGGTAAGGGGGGAACGTGGTGCCAGCCATGTTGATTACGTGATTGGATCTTTCTGCATCACGTGACATGCTGTCAGTGGGGTTTCATATACTACTTTTTTTTCTAGGACCAACTTCAAGCAATGTACAATGTGAGAGCCTCTCCCCGAACCAAAGTAAATAAATATATCATACCAGTTCTACTTTATACTCACTTTTGACAAAGTCAACAGTCATATTCGTGTGCATGTCGTAATACGTTTTCCGAACTCTCATCTTTATGGGGTCGTTCTCGTCGATGTTGTAGTCCCTGAAGGCTTCCACGGGCTTGTCGTCATACTTGGCCTCCGGACGCAGTAGCAGGGATGGGTCGATCATGGAGACCGGGGAATCCTAGATAAAATACGAATTAACTCTAGGCTATCAGTTTTATAGAAGATGATTAAGGGATTCTCCGGGGAACGTGCACCAGGTTCTTTCCCCCCATCTAATGGTTAGTAGTCTAAGGGGTTATTCCAGCTATGCCCGGATGGGTAGGTGAGCTCACGGGCTCAATCTGAAAGAGTTTGCTAACACTCTACAAGACTCCGCTAGCAAGAGCAGTGCTGTGTTGAATCTACCACCGGATCGGAAACGCGACCCACTGAGAAGATCCGTCGAGAAACTCAGTGGGCTGTGTTTATGAATTAATTCGCTCGTCGAGCCCTTCGTCGCAAGCGACGGGTTCCACGAGTACGGTGACCGGTGCTTGTGGTACCTAAAAGCACCGTCAATGGATCGGGAGGATTCGTAATGACGTGTTTAAGGCGACGTCGACTGTTTACCATTCGGTCTACAGGATCGGGTATGAATGGCTACGGACTGCTAGGCCCTATTCTATTCTCTTATTCATCGTCATTTTCGACTCGGTGATGCAGTAGTTATAATTGTTGCAAAATACGATTGCGCGTCGCCTTTAGCTGTGTGAGTGACCAATCTGTATACGCGTCAATGTAGTGAGAGCACGTACGGTCAGCAAACAAAAACTCATTAATTCAAATTATGAATTTCATCCATTTTTACATTTTAAGTATTTATTAATTTACTTTTTAGGACTGGTCAAAATATAAAATAAACACAAAAAAATGTAATCCTAAAAAATACCTTAACTCTACACAAAATAAAAAGCTCTCTCAGTTATTATTAGTAATGTTTCATGTTAATTTATACCACTACCTTCATCAAGCAATTCGACACTGTCATTGTCATAATCTACACTGACATTTGTAATAAATAGGAAATCATAGTCGAAATATTTATATTACAACGACCCTGACCGTTGCGCCGAGGGTCGTGGGTTCGATTCCCGCATCAGACAAACATTTGTGTGATGAACACGTTTGTTTGCTCTTTATCTGGGTGAATATTATCTATCTATTATCTATACTTAATATTATAAAGCTGAAGAGTTTGTTTGTTTGAACGCGCCAATCTCAGGAACTACTGGTCCGATTTGAAAAATTCTTTCAGTGTTAGATAGCCCGTTTATTGAGCGAGGCTATTATAGGCTATATAACATCACGCTAAGACTAATACAAGCGGAGCACTAATAAAGATGCTTCAAAATCGGGGCTTCTCTCCCTTCAGCTTCCGCTGTGTGCGCTGCAGAAACGGTTAAAGTTTCGCTAAAATAATGTATGACAGTATTGTTCCCCTTTAAATGATCTAAAAAAAAGTCCGGGACAGCATTTGTCTATATGTTAATGTTGGCTGAGCCGTTGGCTTACTATATAACGTTTTATGCCAACCAAAGGGGACGGCCCATTTCAGGCCCAAAGCGGACAATAGATTAGAGAAAAAATACTTAGTGCATTAATTTTGTCATAAATAAATATGCAATTACTTTCTTCCAAATAAGCGCCACTACAGTTTACAATAAGTAGTTTAAAAAAAGTAACTCTATTGAAAAAAATAAGAATTTTATTTTTGCGGGAAAAATATTGCCAACTTCAAAACCTTTTACGTATTAAGTAAACATTTTAAGTATATAAAAAAACATATAAATAAATCATTTTAAATATTATCATTAATCAATCGATTTTAATCGATTTTAAGGACATAAAATAACATCAAAGACATACCCATTGGACTTTAACTTGTTACTATACTTGAGACCTTAGAACTTATATCTCAAGGTGGGTGGCGCATTTACGTTGTGGATGTTTGTGGGCTCCAGTAACCACTTAACACCAGGGTGGCTGTGAGATCGTCCACCCATCTAAGCAATAAAAAAAAACTTAACTTGTATTGTTATTTAAATATGTACAACTAAAACAAAAACATAAAAAATAAAATATAATGTGTACTCGTAAAAAAAAGATTAAGAAATAAATCCAATATCGGTTATTTAAAAAAATGATCGATATATGAATTTCATGTAATTATTTTTCTTTATACTGACAACACTGATTTTAATCTGACTGACTGACACTTCGCTTGCTGCTTGTGCTTGCGTTCAAAATGGATGTGTTTTGATTTTTCTTCGATTTATTTTGCTTTTATCAATAACGTTTCATACTACGGCTGAAAACCATTGTGTGAATTGTGGTTTTAACCTGACCGAGATTTAAAACCGTGTATATGCTCTCCTGTGCTATTTTTAGATGATTTACTAATTGTGTATGAAGATGAAGAAAATATAGAATAATATAGATATTTAAAGAAGTATGTGTGTTTTTTATACCCTAATAACTACAATTGGATAAAAATACATTAGGAACATCTTAAACATTAAAAAAAGAAAAGTTCTTGAGGTATTTATATAGAAAATTAACCTCAAAACGAGTTTTTTATTTTTATTATATTTTTTATAATAGTGGCGTCAATTTCAATATATTTTTTAGATATCTAATACATTTAAGAATTTGAATCGGTCCATTTTTATAGTAATATTTAATGTCCACCTTGGGCCTAGCACACTATGGAGAGTGGGCAATGCCCTTTGTTCTAAAATAAAGCATTATTTGTGAACTACGCGGACGAAATCGCGGGCAAAAGCTAGTATATGTATATATTTAAACTTATATAAGTATGTTTATAAGTCTCTAGTACCCATAAACAGGAAATCCTAAATTAGGGCTGGATGACCGTGCGTGATTTGTTCAAAGTTATTTATTATTATTAGAATATTGTGCTAACCACCGTCCATTGTTTTATTAAAACAAACAACACAACATTTCTAGATTTTGCGCTTAATTTCTAATGAAACTGTAAAAGTTGTTTTTAATTGTGTTCACCTCGATTCAGCTGAGATCTAATTGAAATTAAATGTGTTTTTTTTTTATTTAGAATTTTCCTATTTCAGGGTCGGATGTTAGCCTTTCACGCTAATAATGTACCTATTATTTAAATAAAAAGAAATTATTAATTCATTTGTACAGATGTTGTGAAATAATGATGGATACGTCAGAAAATAAACTTTTCTTCATTATAACTTCAATTTACATGTAAATTAAAAAAGTAGGTAAGTAAATGCGAGTTGGACAACGAACAATAGACGGGACATGAACGAATTTTATGTAACATTATGAGATTATTACATATGTATATTTGAAATTTATTAATTTCTGTTTTTTGCAGTCAGACTACAGAACCCTAAGAACAATAAACACTGCAGAAGGTTCTACTTAGAAAATGTTTTTTAATTCATACTTTTGATTTTAGGAGCATTGATGAAGCTCTAAAGACTCGCAAAAATTCAAAAAAAAATCTATGAACCTTTCAACAAAATAAAAATACAAAAAAAAAATGGCGGGCATTTCTATTTTTAACATTTTCGAAACTACTAATTCATAAACAAAAATTGAAAAAAATTTGCTATTCCAAATACGAAATATTCCACAGACTAAACAACATCCTAGGCTCTAAAAAAGAAAATTAACTTACTGGCTTGATTTTCATTGTAGTGCGTCTGTGTTCCTTCTCAGAGCGATTCAGACTAATAGTAATATGTTAGCACTTGATTCTTAAATGGTGGAATTGTATGATAATAGCCGATGATCATCGCTCTACTCCAAGTCATAGGTTATCCGAACTAATAAAATATGAGAAAAACATGAACAGCGATAATTGAAAATGCTAATTTGATAAATTAATTGTTTCACGATAGCATTTTTTTAATGTTTGAAACTTGACTTGTACATCGTGGTCTTTTAGGTGAACCCACCAAAACTTTACTAATAAATTACTTCAAAATAACATATTTCTAGAAATGACTATCTGAACAGCTTTCTCTTGTATGGATTCAAATGTATGGGGGTCGATTGCTTCCCGCTTCCGTAGGTTTTACCCGCGATTCCCTACAAGTGACCCCTGGGTGGTGCAAAACGGGAGCCGAATACATAATCGGTGGTAGGACTTGTCCGACTGGCTGGCGACCACCCTCCAACTATAGTCCGCCGCCAAATAGCCTAGCTGTGTTCCGGCGTGTGGGTTGGAGAGCCAGTGTTATTCCTTCCCTTTCCTCTTCCTTGTTGGGGGTGAATCTTGGCGATACCTGGAACATGCGGAGCAGACGTGCGTGTGAGCTCGCGGGACGTGATTGTTTGACGGGGGTATAGGGAGACCCAGTGAAACGGTGTTCGCCGCCGCCCGCCGGTCAGTTGGGGACCTGAACCCGGGTGTCACTACTAAACTCCGCCCCGGGAANAAAAAAAAAAAAAAAATGTAACATATGATATATGTACATATATAATTTTTATTTATAAATTGTTTTTTTTTTCTTTCTTTTCGCTATTTTTTAAATCTAAATTTTGTTGTTAATATTTATAATAATATGTGGAATGCAAATAATAGAATAAAAAACGCATGAAGTAAAGGGTTGAAGATGAAACAGAATGAGTCCCTCCCTATGACTACTATAATACTAAATTCTTTCAGGTTGAGCCCGTGAACTCATCCTCCCATCCGCGCGATGCTTGGATAGCCCCTTAGGCTACCAGCGGATTGATAAGGAAAAAAATTAGGTTTATTGCTAAGGTTTAGTGCTAAATTCTAAGTTTACGCTAATTCAAAACATGTGATCTAGGCCGGATGACAGTGAGTGACGAATTACAGTTCTTCTGAGGATCAACAAAAAACCCATTAGTGCGTTTATAAATTGTGATCAACAAAAACTTTAAATTCCTACTTCCTTTCGTAAAAAAAAGTTTATTGTTCGCTTGTTTGCAGACTTCAAATATTCAAGTTTCGAAATTAAATTCTATCAAATGTTTTTGTTGACAGTTACATAATTTTTTTTTTTTATTACTTAGATGGGTGGACGACACAGCCTACCTGGTGTTAAGCGGTTACTGGAGCCACAGACATCTACAACGTAAATGCGCCTCCCACCTTGAGATATAAGTTCTAAGGTCTCAGTATATTTTCACGGCTGCCTCACCCTTCAAACCGAAATGCATTACTGCTTGGCAAGGTGGTGGTTCCTACCCGTCCGGACTCACATGAGGTCCTACCACCAGTAATTACGCAAATTATAATTTTGCGGGTTTCATTTTTATTACACGACGTTATTCCTTCACCGTGGAAGTCAATCGTGAACATTTCTTAAGTACGTATTTCATTAGAAAAATTAGTACCCGCCTGCGGGATTCGAACACCGTTGCATCGCTTCAACACGAATGCACCGGACGTCTTATCCTTTATGCCACGACGGCCACACGTCAAGCAAAGGGATTGACATTAGCCATTCCATTCCATCAGGACGGAACCTAATTTTGATATTGGAATTAATTTACGAGAAGGATCAGTTGAGAAATTGGCATTAATTTAAGAAATGTAAAGAAATTATGAAAGCGAAACGAAACTTTCAATCAAAACAATTTATTGTATTATTAATTTATATAATATTATACATAGTATTGTTACTTATTTCGTAAACAACTCGAATAAGATACAGTTATTATGAATATAATGTTGAATATACCGAATTATTTGGATTTCAGTCGCAAAGTTATATTAAAAATTCAACACAGTGCAGAAATTTAATGCAGTTATTCCTCTATACAATATTTATTAAAGTTAAAAATATATTAAAATAAAATAGTAATTTTGACATTTACTCTGTGTCAATCAAAGGATGACATGAAAAATAGATTTAATTGAATAATGAATTAATGTAAAGATTTAATTTATTAATTAAATGATAATATTCGACTATGGAACTACCACCAGAGCTAGTCGGAAATTGAAAATATTTACAAAAGTTCTAGAAAGACTTTGGTGACGTTTACCTAACTATAAACAAATTCTAATGAAATTTACTTTTGGTCACTTGTATGTTATTAATGAATTTGCTTTTTTTTCTCTTTTAAAAATCTCCCCATACCCTCCAGATATGTTTTTAACAAAACTAATGTATTTCACAACCAGTGATTCAAAATAAAATTCCATCTAATTGTTATTTAATTCTAATAACGTTAAATTAACTAAAACCAAATGTTGACACAGTTAGATGGTGTCAAATTTATCTTTTTAATAAATTAACCTGGAATCGCGGGGACTTGCATTTTAATGATTCAATGTCCAGTCCGTCAGTATAATTGTTCAATGAGATACAAACTTAAACGCATATAGAGTCTAGATGGGGTAAAATAAGACAAAAGGGGCAAGAGAGTTGTTCTTTTTTATGTTTGATAAGTTACTCGTGGCCCGGAGGCCTTTCCAGTTTTACCAGGGCAGGTGGGCGAGCAAAGGCTCAGCCAGGAAGGATGGGATTTGCTAACAGCTACAACAGCTACCCGAGCGCCTCCAAATGAGACCTCACAACTCAAGAGTAGCTGTTTTGCGAATGAATCTACTACCGGATCGGAATCGCAACCCGCTGAGAAGATCCGGCGTTTAACTCAGCGGGCTGATGCTTAGGTTAGGAGCGAGTTATTCTCTTCCTTGTTATTGAGTTGAGTAAAACTACAAATATCAAAAATAATTTACATTTTCGGGCGGTTTTCTACACTGAACGCCCAAAATAAGTGGCCACGAGCGTGATAATACTATTTATATGTATACTTTACTTATGTAACTAAATTTATTATGGTTGTTCCCGTGACGTGATAATACTATTCATAAATATAATTTACTTATATAACTACAGTAATTATGGTTATTTCGGTAAAGATGTGATGTTATCACCATTCGCAGATTCCAGGGATGTACTTCTCAATGAGCTTTTCGTAGTACGGCCAAAGAGCCTCAATGTCCGGCACCTTCTCACTCTTCGTGTACAAATCATATTTGCTACAAGGAAAACAGAAGTCGTTAGATTATCCGGTGCGAAACTAGAGCATTTACAAACTGATTAGATTCAAACATAGTTTTATAGTATTTGCTACGAGGTTTTATATTTAGTTATAGTTAATTAGTTTTAATATAGTTTTATAGTATTTAGATTCATTTAATTCTTTTACTAAATTTGGCACATTGTGACGTGTGTGAATTTAGGCAATCATTTCACACCAGTTGACTGCAGGGTCCCGTGTTTCTATTTGGGTGAGGCCGTTGTGATATCTTTTGGCTGTGGAAATCATTTAACATTAACCGAGCCGTGATATCGTTTACCAATGTAATCATGAAAAAAAATGGCATCGCTCGATAGGTACGTGTCTTGTTCAATAGACCACATAACATAAAATGTTTACTTTGCTATTATTGACATCAAGTATCTAACGCCAAGATACAACTCAGCTTATCTTCTGACTTATCAGGAAATTGCGTTTATCAATTACATAATATCCTTTACTCAGCAAACATTATTTAAAATTCAAAATATGTATGAACAAGTAAAAAAGGACCCTAAAAATCTTAGAAGAATCCCGGCTTAGTAAGGAGCCAAACTAAAGTGTTTTAACTGATGATCCTTGATGATGACTGACGGTACCAGTACATCTGCAGCTGGGACGGTTGAAATTACGCAGATGGATGATGAAATAGCTTCTGTATCGACATCGGGCTGTATTACCCGTTACGAGACGTATTCACGTACAACAAACGGCCGTGTCCATAACACAGCCACACCCGTATTATTTTTTTTCAAATTTAAGATTAAGAACAAATTCTATTTTCAAGTTATTCGTTTATGTTTTGAAATTGTTAAAATGAACTTGACTTACTTAAATTCGGTCACCCATTTTAGAATTTCTTCGTCTTTTTCATTGCTCAGATGGCGGTAGTCTCTGCCTGCGTGCCAAGGATAGAATGAGTGGTACCTGCAATTTAAACACATTTATTTTGTCCGTCTTTATATAGTAATGAAGACATCACGTACACTCGTATATATGTACATAGGCTATGTAATTATGCCGACATGATATTTTCGTATATAATCTATTAATCAAAAGTGTGTTCACGAATGATTTCCATGATAAATATACAATATTGTAATGTAATGAAACTTTCAAATCTTTTGCTTGGTAATTACTAAACACCGAGCACCTGGTTGAGCCCGCGCTCGCCCGCCTGCCCAGCAGAAGCTGGTATGGTATTTGAGCCACAAGCAATATCTCTATATATATATCTCTATATAGAAACTCTGTTCGTTAGTCTCGCTCAAACTCGAGAACGGCTGAACCGATTTGGCTAATTTTAGTCTTGAATTATTTGTGGAAGTCCAGATAAGGTTTAAAAGGTAGATAAATATGAAAATGCTCGGAATTAAATAAAAATAACAATTTTGTTTTCCCTTTGATGTCCCCCCGTCAGACGGATTCCTTTTGTTTACGCCTTTTATTTATCGATTGAGCCACTACGAAGTATGCCGGGTCAGCTAGTCTCCGCTAAAAAAAAACTAGATCTGTGGTGTTAATACGGAACCCGTAGAATTAGACTTCTAATTTTGTAGATTAAGTTCGTGGGCCCACAATTGCAGCTGTAAAAGCACAATAGCGACTAGTAAAACAAATGATTTTTTTAACATGACGAACATGCATCCGCCTTAAAATCTATTGACATATTCATTAACAGAGTCGCCGGGATTCAAATTTTCTCATTATCAGCTTATTAAATAATAAATAAGTTTGTTTAAAATTTTGATTTAAGCAATGTTAATTACCTGATCATGTATAGACCCTTCTCAGGTATCGTAGACTTGTTATGTAGCAGGAATTGATACAGATACTCATCGTGGCTCCAGGACATCAGCAAATTATCGATTCCGCAGTGGGGCTTGTACATTCCATATTTGGTGCTAGAATTTTTTTTTTTAAAAAGACTTGCTTTATTGGGTTATTTTACTTAGGCAAAGTTTGACAGGTGAATTGTTCAAACGTTCTTTAGCTTTTACTTAACTTGATTTATAATAAATCAAACGATATTTCGTTAACAAACGGAATGTTTACCCTATTTAACCTATCAATTAATTTTTACCCGTTACGGTTTTAAATGTATCCATAATAATATATTCTTCAACCCTTGTCCACATAATGCCGAGTGTAGGTCTCTTCAAAGGCACCCCATTCTTTTATCATCAAATATATATATCAAAATATCATCATTATCATCATAAAATAATAGGTTTTATTTTAATCTAGGTAGATACAGCATATACATCTCAGGCTACACACTTGTACTTAGGATTATAAGTGTCAGGGTTGGCATTGAAGCTCCGAAATATCGTCATTATTATTAAAAAAATCGTATTTTTTTGGAGTCTATATACGTACATACAGCATATACAGATATCTCAGGCTACATACTTGTATTTAAGATTATAAGTGTCAGGGTTGTCCTTGAAGTTCAAAAATATCATCATTACTATTAAAAAATAATATTTTTTTTGGAGTTTATCTACGTACGAACAGCTTAGACAGATATCTCTGGCTACATACTTGTACTTAGGATTATAAGTGTCAGGGTTGTCCTTGAAGCTCCAAAATATCATAATTACTATTATCAAATAATAGTTTTGGAGTTTATCTACGTACATACAGCTTAGACAGATATCTCAGGCTACATACTTGTACTTAGGATTATAAGTGTCAGGGTTGTCCTTGAAGCTCCAAAATATCGTCATTATTATTATTAAATTATAGTTTTGGAGTTTATCTACGTACATAGAGCATATACAGATATCTCAGGCTACATACTTGTATTTAGGGTTATAAGTGTCGGGGTTGTCCTTGAAGCTCTCGGGACCATAGACGATGGAGTCAGCCCATTTACAACCAACGGGGAAAGTGTCTCCGACCACGCACCACTGCGGCTCGTCATAAAATGCCATTACCTAAAACAGAAATTTACAACATGTTGTAGGTATTTATCTTGCCTCCTCCTTCTCCTTGTTTCGATAATCCGTAATGCTGAGGGTCATGGCCCCCTCTCATAACTCCTGGAGTATCCTGCGCCACTCCCACCTATCCTCGGCTTTTCTTGCGTAGTCAGCCTAAGACGAGCTTTTGTCTATGCCTGTCTTAAGGCAATTAGTACTAATCTGGACGCTAAAAGGTTGTCGCAATATACCATAAGATTCCGACTATGCTGTTACGTTATGTTTCAAATATTTTACTGAATTTCATTTCATTTCAATGAATACTTACTTAGATATAAAATTGCGCGTACCTACGTCACATGAAAAGTATGATAACCTTCAGTTTTTACGAGTGTCTTGACTTTTCATTAAGAAAACAATGTCATGTACACAAAGGTCTCGGGGTGTTGATAGCCGAATTATTTGCCGAGTAGAAAAGTAAGGTTGTTTATCTTGGCTCCCCTAAATACGAATCATTTTTTTTGTATTTCAACTTATTTAACTAGAAAAAACAATTTAATGTAAGAAAGCACAACAAAACAACTTTCATTTAACTAAAAAAGTATTTTTCTTCGTTTAGATCAGGGGTTCCCAAACTTATTTTGTCTACTGCCCACCTTGAGAATAAATTCTTTTTAGCGCCCCCATTTTTGTCATCTACTTAAAAACCACTATAGCGAGAGCTCAGTCGGTCCTCCTAGATGAAATTACAAATCGCCTCTCAAGCCTCTACACAACGTCCCCATTTTTTTTCTGAGTCTCTTAGCGCCCCCCTTTAGGATTGCAGCGCCCATAGGGGGGCGTTATCGCCCACTTTGGAAAAGGCTGGTTTAGATCGTTACGCCACTGTGGAGTCCATAACCGATTGTGTGTGTGAGGCGATGGTGAGGCGACTCGCGGTAATTGTCAATCGTTTTTGAAACAATACCAGAAGGTTCTCTAAATCCTAACAGCAACTGTCCAAATTATTCATCAAGTACTTAGAGTGAATTTAAACTCAAAAAAAACAGACAAATAAACATTCGTTTAACTACAGCAGATCAATAGAAATTAAAACTCAGACTAGGTATTCCAAAAAAATCACAATTTCTTTGAGTTTTATAGAATAAGATAACGCCAATAAAATAGGATAGACGAAGCAAAGCTAAACTTAAAATGAATATTGAAGTTGTTACAGTGAAATCGTTGTTGTTAAATCATAAATTGTTAAAATATATATTGGGACAATTTAGCAAGAAATAAATTGTGACAATGTATCAAGTCTAAATGCAATAGGTCATAATTGAATTAGCGCAAGACAAAGAGAGAAAAAGTAGGAGAGAAAAACAGCCTGAGTAACATTCATTGGAATATTTACGGCGCAATTTTTGAGCCACGATCGATTTGAATAGAAGTTGATAAGTAGATTAAAAACGCAAAGAAATAATTTGTATTACTAAGTCGTATTATTTTCTCTAAAATTGCAGAGAGTAAAGTAATCTATATATTAATACGTGAAGCAAAACTTTGTACTCTTTTTTACGAAAATTGCGCGGACGGGGGATTACGAAATTTCCCACACTTATTCAGAATATAGAGAAGGAGTGCACAATGTTAATATTATTTTAAATTATGCATAAAAAATACATTAAATATATGAATAAAAACATTACACACACTGCCATGTATTTGACATACACACGCATGCATTCTACTTGTTTATTGTCAAACTTTTCTTATTGCTTATAGTCTGTGGTCAAATTGAGAATAGTTTAAAATATATCATTGTTTATCTCTATTAATATTTGTCTAAAGTGTAGTCTTGGCGAAATCTATGATTATAGAAGTGTACAAACTTATAATTACAACTAATTATAGTCGAATTTCGACTACTGCGGGACCACTAGTCATATTTATTTTGCTACAGAGATTCACTTTATCTTCTGGACAACGTTACCTTGCCTAAATCATGAATGAGACCAGTAAGGTGGAACCAGTCCTCATCAGGGTGATCCTCTCTGATCCTTTCAGCGGTCTGGAAGGCGTGCACGATGTTTGGTAGGTCCGTGTCGGGGTCTGACTCGTCCACCAGCTCATTGAGTTTGATGAGAGCATCCTTCACTGTGGCCTTGAAGTGGTTGAACTTTAGCCATTTCTCGCGTTTTTCTAGTTATAAACATTTTTATTTAGTACTTAGTCGAAACTGGTTTTTCCTTTAGTACTTTGATTTGAATAAAATAATATGACATTATTTTTTTACGTAAAAACGTACGTATAGACATTTTACGTAAAAATATCATTATATTATCGACACGTGAAAGGTTATTTGGCTTAAGCGACATTTTTGTAACTTTACAAGAGAGCCACATAAAGTTTAAAAAAATATTATAACAAAAAAGAAACTTCCTCAGCTATTTGATTGAATAGGCTAAGCTTAATTGAAGTTCAATCAAAACATCGAACTGTTGATGCTAATACGAAAGCTAATACCAAATTTTAAGTCGTCGTGGCCTAAAGGATAAGACGTCCGGTGCATTCGTATGTAGCGATGCACCGGTGTTCGAATCCCGCAGGCGGGTACTAATTTTTCTAATGAAATACGTACTTAACAAATGTTCACGATTGACTTCGTAATTACTGGTGATAGGACCTCTTGTGAGTCCGCACGGGTAGGTACCACCTCCCTGCTTATTTCAGCCGTGAAGCAGTAATGCGTTTCGGTTTGAAGGGTGGGGCAGCCGTTGTAACTGTACTGAGACTTTAGAACTTACATCTCAAGGTGCGTGGCGCATTTACGTTGTAGATGTCTATGGGCTCCAGTAACCACTTAACACCAGGTGGGCTGTGAGCTCGTCCACTCACATAAGCAATAAAAAAAAAACTTTCACCGAACATTATAAAAAAAAAAAACATTTTATTTATTAATTAAATTGAACGCTCAATCTCTCAAGAACTTAGAGCTTGTTTTGGAAAAGGCAGGTAAGTTTGAAATCAATGACAAAAAATCAACTATTGACAAGTTCACACAAAATAAGCAAATTAAGCAGTAGGCAATTAGGCAGTAGTTTTTACTGATGGTAGGCCGTCTTGTGAGTCGGCACGGGTAGGTACCACCACCCTGCCTATTTCTGCCGTGAAGCAGTAATGCGTTTCGGTTTGAAGGGTGAGGCAGCCGTTGTAACTATTCTTAAGACCTTAGAACTGATATCTCAACGTGGGTGGCGCATTTACGTCGTAGATGTTTATGGGCTCCAGTAACCACTTAACACCAGGTGGGCTGTGAGATCGTCCACCCATCTAAGCAATAAAAAAAAGGCAGCGGCTTAGCTCTGCCCCTGGCATTACTGAAGTCCATGGGCGACGGTAATCACTCACCATCACGTGGGCCGTATGCTCGTCTGCCTACAACGGCATTTAAAAAAAATATAGATGCTCACGTTTGACCAAATCGACGGTAACATTGGAATGCATCAAGTAGTAAGTGCGTCGGACCCGTTCCTTGATGGGGTCCGTATCGTCGACGCTGTAGTCCCTGAACGCGTCGATAGGCTTGTCATTGAACGTCGGCTCTGGACGCAGAAGCTGCGACGGGTCGATCATGGACACAGGCTTCTTTTCCTATTTATTAGTAGGTAAGCAGATTTTAAGAAGTCGTCGTGGCCTAAAGGATAAGACGTCCGGTGCATTCGTATCTAGCGATGCAACGGTGTTCGAATCCCGCAGGCGGGTACCAATTTTTCTAATGAAATACGACTTAAGAAATGTTCACGATTGATTTCCACGGTGAAGGAATAACGTCGCGTAATAAAAATCGAACCCGTTAAATTATAATTTGCGTAATTACTGGTGGTAGGAGCTCTGCCTATTTCCTGTCATGAAGCAGTAATGCGTTTCGGTTTGAAGGGTGGGGCAGCCGTTATAACTATAGTGAGACCTTAGAACTTATATCTCAAGGTGGGTGGCGCATTTACGTTATAGTGGTCTATGGGCTCCAGTAACCACTTAACACCAGGTGGACTATGAGCTCGTCCACCCATCTAAGCAATAAATACAAACGATATAATAAAGTATAGTAAGCTATGACGGTGTGAGTCCTAAAATCGCAGGGCCGCATCTTTTGCAGTAAGGGTCGTAAAGGGGGTTAACCGCCTCACCGGAGATTGAACATCAGCATGCTCTGACGCAGTGAAACTGTCAACTGGCTTATACTAGTTATATTATAAAGCCTATTAAAATCCTGAAGCAATAATGCGTTCCGGTTCGAAAGGTGGGATACAATTCTCAAGACGTATTACGGTTTAAAAAAAAAACCGCCTGTTAAATACTGTGACGCAGAATCCATGGGCGGTCGGATTCTTACTTGTTTGACTGCTTCGCGAAAAAAATAGACAAGATAAATATATAATATTTGATATGCTTGATTTTTTAATTATTTTACTATTTGTTGGGATTTTTAAAAATACGCTTAGTAGATACATAATTATTTAGAATATCTTTGTACCGGCATAAAACTTATATTAATACTCTTAGCGATCACATTTTTAAATTTATTTTATTAACGTAACATCTTTAGCTACTTACAACTTCGGCGGCCATTTTGTTATTTGTTAAAACACACAATAATACAAAGACTAAAAACGAACGTCAAATGTTAAATATTTATAACATCTTAGTTATTTAATATGGATTTATATACCTGTCGTTAACATCTCGAGTACATGTTATCTGATAATGGCGGCTTTAGTTAACTTTGATAAAGTTAATTCTATATTGGAGCGTTTTAGTGTACTTCAAATGTTTAAAAAAATATATATATATTTAAAAACAAGAATATATCAAGAATATATAATATTTAGTCTACGTGGCCTAAAGGATAAGACGTCCGGTGCATTCGTGTTGAGCGATGATGCACCGGTGTTCGAATCTCAGGCGGGTATCAATTTTTCTAATGAAATACGTACTCAACAAATGTTCACGATTGACTTCCACGGTGAAGGAGTAACATCGTGTAATAAAAATCAAACCCGCAAAATTATAATTTGCGTAATTACTGGTGGTAGGACCTCTTGTGAAACTCGACTATAATTTATTGAATCGTAAGTTTGTACACTATTATGATTGTATTTTATATTTCTATAATCATAAATTTCGCCAAGGCTACACTATAGAAAAGATTAATAAAGACAAACTATATTTATTCTATTCTCAATTTGACAACAGACGTCAAGAACAAATGTTTGACAATAAATAGTATGCATGCGTGTGTGCGTCAAATATATGGCACGTAGTGTGTGTAACGTTTTCTTTATTGATTTAATGTATCTTTTATGCATTATTTTAAAAAAATATTAGCATTATGCACTTCTTCTCTATATTCTCTATAAGTGTGCAAAATTTCATACTCCTCCGTCCACGCAATTTACGTAAAAAGGGATACAAAGTTTTTGCTTCACGTATTAATTAAATAAATGTCCGGAACCAACGTTCATTCAATATCAGTAGCTCCCCCCATTGCATATCAAAGTCATAACCCGAAGCTTGAAAACGTACATCATATTAAATGATATGAATAAAAAACAAATGAGGTGAATTTGGACAGTACAACAGTAAACGGAAGCTTTAAATTTTATCTTTAACACAGACGCGCAGAGTTCAATCTATATATTAATACGTGAAGCAAAAACTTTGTATCCCTTTTTACGAAAATTGCGCGGACGGAGGAGTATGAAATTTTCCACACTTATAGAGAATATAGAGAAGAAGTGCACAATGCTAATATTTTTTTAAAATAATGCATAAGTGATACATTAAATCAATAAAGAAAACATTACAAACACTACATACCATGTATTTGACGCACACACGCATGCATACTATTTATTGTCAAACTTTTGTTCTTGGCGTCTGTTGTCAAATTGAGATTAAATATTGTTTGTCTTTGTTAATATTTTTTATAGTGTAGTCTCGGCGAAATTTGTGATTATAGAAGTATAAAATGCAATCATAATAGTGTACAAACTTACAATTCCAATTAATTATAGTCGAATTTCGACTACTGCGGGACCTCTAGTTTTTTTTTAATTCTCTTTTAAAGCATAGACGAATGTACGGCCCGTCTAGTGTTCAGTGGTTACCAGAGTCCTTAGAAACCACTACGTCACCGCCGCCCACCTTGAGACATGAGGTCTAAGGATCAATGGTATCGAGTAGAACGGCTGCCCCGGATTAAGCCCCTTGAGTTTCTTGCCGGATCTTCTCAATGGACCGCGATTCCGATCTGGTGGTAGATTCTGCGAAGCACTGCATGAGCTTACCTACCCGTCCGGGCGTAACTGGAATAGCCTCTTGAGCCATTAGCGAATAGGTAGGAAAAAAAGCTGCTACGCCCTGCAAACGGAAACTTTAACTAAAATTATCGTAATTAAAAAACCTACTCGTGCGGAATCAAAAGACGTCCTAGCACCGGTAAAAGAATGATTTTATTTAATTTTTTTATTGCTTAGTTGGTTGGACTAGCTCACAACCCACCTGGTGTTAAGTGGTTACCGGAGCCCATAGACATCTGCAACGTAAATGCGCCATTCACCTTATAAGTTCTAAGGTCTCAGTGTAGTTACGAATTGTTGAATTAAAAATGTGGATTTCTTTTAAAACAGCGGTTTTCTAATATTGACCCCGAAAACATTGTTCAATCCCAAGTGACGTAATTAATCCGCCTAACGATCAGATAAGCGATCTAAGATACAATAGGCGTGGTTACTGGTTAGTGAAGCCACCTATTGCGCGGAAATCATATTACAATGGAAAATATAGACATTCCAGATAAGATACATGGATTTCTATTTGTGACAAGTTAAGATGTTTTGCGTGTCCGTTGTTTGTTAAAGACAAAAACAGATGCGAAATCTCTTAATCTGCAACTCGAGATATCAGGTCGAGTTGCGATTCTGGTTTTTTCACATTTTTGTTTGTGGTTCGTGGTAATAACATTTTGAACATTTTACGGAACCCAATCTTAGAGCCGAATTGGTAAGGTGGAGTGTTCATGCCCTACACAAATAATATATATATTTTTCTATCCTGTTGTCGTGTCTGCGGGTTGGAGGTTTGGTGGATCACTTCAATGAATAAAAATATAAGCTTTAAACTTCATGTATCGTGGTACGTAGTGTTTTTTTTTGCGTGAACTTTTTGCATCAATTAACCCGCGTGGACAACAATGGTGGGACGGGCCATAGTTTACAATGTCATAAATAAAATTAAATAATCTAGTACGATCAGTTTTAATCTAGACCCTCTGTAACCAGGAAGCCTGGCTCGTTACTGCATAACTTCATCCATTTGTGTGACGGATATCTAAATCTGTCCACCCCTGATTCCAAATTACAAAAATATGGATGTGGCATTACGAAGTATAGAAATAGCATGTAAGTCTTTTTTCAAATATCTTCTATCCTTTTCTTGTTATTAAAGAGGATTTTATTTTATTTGGAAAATAATAATGATACATAATTTTTCATGCTCGAAGCGAATGATTTCCTTGATTTCAATTTATCAACGAAAACTATACTACCACTTTAAAATTAAGCAGTATACTTTGAAACACGAAATCGAAATCCGTACCTATCGATTTATTTTTTGTTGCATATTTGTATAGATCTGTGGTGTGGGCCACAAAGTTTCAGAAATTCTAGAGGAGGGCCAGAATTATAGAAAAAATGCATGCATATGAAGCAATGCATATTAGATTTTATTTTACGCGCAAAAATACTGGCTACAATATTTAGGATGGATGGATTCTCGGCGGGCCGGATTAAATACTTCAGCGGGCCGTACTTTGCCCGTCACTGGTATATATGAAGGAACCCACAGCCGGCTTGTTATAAAGTGGTTATAGAAGCCCATAGATATAATATCGTGAACGCCACTAATGTTAAGACTTGAAATCTTGAGACAAGTCTCAATTGACGTCTGTTTCATTTGTTCCCGTGCGGGCTGATACGTCCTAACATTAAATGCTGAATTGTGATCGCAGTAAGGTGATTAAGACTCGGAAAACGCTGCCGCCAATTCTACAAAAGCCTTAGTTACGTTTTAAAACGCCTACGGGAAGATTTGGATTGGCCTATTCTATTCTATTCTAGTATGTTTTAGACAAAAACAACACAACCTGCTACGACACGAATTGTACTCGTAAGCAACATATCTGCCGTGTTTCCAACATCCAAGCTATAGGTCAATTGACCTAACCTTCACACGTGTTGCGTATTCACGTGCGGACTTTTTTTAAACCAAGCAAGGATCTGAATGAGGACACATCAGTTGATAGAATTATTCTGTAGCTATAAATGGAGGTATTGTCGGTTTAAATGACACGAAATGATCAAACAGTTCTTGAATCACTTTTTTTTTTTGGTCAGGAGGAAATCGCCGGACTCCCACCCCCCACTGGTGATGGAGGGTGGGGCATGTCGGAGTCGAACCGACTAAAACCTCCTGTCGCTCAACAACCAACGTAGGTACTTTTGAAGGATTCAAATTGTTTAAATTCATATGATTGTTACTACTGCAATCTATTACATATACATTACACTATATATGAATAACTCAAGTTCAAGAACGATAAAAGAGCTGATAAATGGAATTATTTTAGGCAACTTTAACAGCTTACAAACCCCGTGATCTTTGATTTTGATATCTCATATCATGACGTAAAAAATGTTTACCACTGCCAAACATTGTGGGCCGAATATTTTAGACTAGCTTTTGCTCGCGACTCCATCCACGTGGAATAGTTACTTTGGCATAACGCTAAATTTTACCCCCCACTTCATTTACGTAGAAAGTGAAAATATTTTTGAATTCTGGAATATTAAGGAGCTATCTAACACTGAAAGAATTTGTTAAATCGGACCAGTAGTTTCTGAGATTAGCGCGTTCAAACTCTCTCTCAACAACAAACTCTTCAGCTTTATAATATTAGTATAGATTTAACAAAACAAAACACAAGCTGTAGGCAGCGGCTTGGCTCTGCCCCTGATAGTGCTGACGTCTATGAGCGACGGCAACCATTCACCATCAGGCGGGTCTTACGCTCGTTTCCTTGCAAAATAAAAATCACATAAAACCACCCAAAAAAATATCACTTAATATTAATCGAAATGATGTTTTGACAAATGAATAACAACAAAATGATTAACTGTGTGAACTCATTATCTTAAATTGCGTTGATAACGACGTTTCACGTCACCGAACATATGACCATGAAATCGTACCAACAAGATGTTAGGGTTCGTTTTTGTTTACACCAAAACTGTTATGTTATGTTTACTAGAGGTCCCGCAGTAGTCGAAATTCGACTATAATTAATTGGAATTGTAAGTTTGTACACTATTATGATTGTATTTTATACTTCTATAATCACAAATTTCGCCAAGACTACACTATAAAAAATATTAACAAAGACAAACAATATTTTATCTATTCTGAATTTGACAACAGACGTCAAGAACAAAAGTTTTACAATAAATAGTATGCATGCGTGTGTGCGTCAAATACATGGTATGTAGTGTATGTAATGTTTTCTTTATTGACTT